GTTTAGTTTTACTTTGATACATGTGGCAGATTTTAATTCTACAAACTAAGATATTTCATTCTCCGATTGAGAACTTATTGAGTCTAGTACTTTAAAGTAGGTGTGATATGTATTTAGGTTCCCTGCCGAATGTCTCAACTTGGGACAGCTGGGTAGGAGACAAGTCATTTATTTCGTCAGTGACAGATATTGAGTTTGGTTACACTTTGCACTTTGTACACAGCAGCTCGTTTGCTCATATTCATGTAATCTAAAATGTAGTGGATCATTGACCGTTCCCATTGCAGCAACCTGTGCCATGTAATTTATTACAATTATAAAAATTAGCCGCATATTCACATTCACCACATATTGTGGCATAATTTGCTGCAACTCGCCTCTTTGGAGACAGATACAGATTGTAGTACCGCTTAGTTTGCAAAAAACATGCCGTATTACTAACTGGTGCCTTTATGTAGTAATATAAAGGATACATTTTATAATTAGAACTAAGAACATACATGTTCCATAATTACTCGTGCAGTCTGCCCTGCCTCCGCAGATCATTTTGCTGCTATACAGTTTAGCCTTTTGTCTGTTTTCGAGATTTTCGAGTCTACGATTAATTTATTAGTGATTGTAATCGCTAGTACTTGCATTTAACCGATAAAACTTGGATCAAAGTCATGAATATGATTGAAAAACACTGTCATTAACTTCACAATCTTTGGATTCTTGTGCTTCAGTAAAAAGTTAAGTTATTTCTAATTTCCATTGATCATAAAACGAAACGGCTACAATAAATATTCACAAATGTGAAATGCATTTGAAAGAACTATAAACTATCAATAATGCGTTAAATCCTTCAATCAATAGCATATAAAATAACCGTTAAATAATCTGTGAAAGATTACGGTATTAAGTGTTTAGTGTCTTCTGATGTGTTAGCAGTCAATTTTTTATCACCTCCAAAAACTCTTAATAATAGTTTGAAGACCTCGTCGACGATAAGGACACTGCTACTCAAACAAACAAGCATGATAATGTCATCAAAGGCAAGAGCCTCGGTTTGAAATATGGTCTGTAAAAAGGGAACATAAATGAGTCCAAATAGCGAGAGAATAGATGCAGAGATTGCGAAGAGAAAAGTCGTGTTGCCGAACAGATTTATTTGTAGTATTGATTTGGTCTGAAAGCAGAATAGTTTATGGATCAAAAATAATGTTAGAAGTGTGTAACACGCAGTTCTTATTGCAGCAAATTGTTATTTGACTGAGATTGAAGAACTAAGAAAATAATGTGGATAAATAGGAGCTGAGTACTCCATACTAACCAACGACCGACAAGACAGAGCATTGAACATGTCGAAGAAGATGAAACAGGTAAATGTCATCGTCGTGTCACGTGCTGTCACCTGACCGTCAACCATCTAAAACACAACTTAGTAACAGGTTATCCAACTGGAATTTAAATAACTTCTCTTCAAGTTAGGGAATACGATTTGACTTATGACACGATTCAGCAAACGAAATCAAGGAATTCCATGACTAACTCATCAAAAATAGATACAAGAGTGATCATGCACAATTGAAGGCTTTCTTTGAAATCATGGTAGGCGTTTCAGCTACGTTTTGAGCAAATATAAAAGTGAAAAAGTGCTTAAGATTTCTCAGAAACAGCTCAGTTTAAAATCTAAGGCTGCGATAAGAAGAGAGATTTTAATCCCGATTGAATGTAGATTTAAAGCAAGACATCACTTACTGAAGATTATAATCCATTTAAAAGAAAGCTTCATTTAAGAAGGTCCTGATAGTGATTACATGAAATGCTCAGTAACCCAACACACAGCAGTTTCACAGTTCACACTGGTGTAATACTCACTTCATTTTTATAGACCCACAGAGTCCCCGAGATGATAACAGCGGCAGAGACACAAACCCGAGCCAGCATGTACAGATCTACCACCTGTTTCTTGGGTAGTCGAGGTGGCGAGTTTACCACACCACTGTCCATCGGCTCCACGCCCAAACTGCGCGGCAGTTAGTTTAAGGGGGTTTACATATTACGTTATCACTTTTTGGCAAATTTTTAACCCCCACTCCGTTATTAGTTTTACACATGACTATTGTGTTAAATTAAACTAGCGTAATTATTTATAAACTCCTCCCTCCTCCTTAGTGATTACTTATTATATAAACGACCCCCAAATTTTACTTTGTAGTGTGCACAGTGCATTATGAGTTAACACAAGTACATAGTAAGCAAGCCCTCAACTCTTTTACTCAACATTTAAACTTTTTAATCCATCATTTTATAAAATTGAGAGCTCAACTCTAGTGAGGGAATAGGCGTGGTCAAATTGAGCTTGTAACAGTTAAGATAAAAAAATACAATTCTTCTCTAAGATAATGTTGCAAGAGGATTGGAATACCGTAGTTTACGAAGAAGGATCTACGTTCGTAAATAACACACAGAGAACACAACAAATAGACAAAGACAGTCATGAGAGTGAGACAGTTAAAAAATAACAAACAAACAGACAGCATCGAGTGAGAAAACATGATATATAAACCTCTGAGCTGGGGGACCGTCCATGATAATATTAATCCAGAGGATCTGCATGGGATTAAGGGGTGAGGGAATGTTCCAGAATGTTGTAATTGCGATCATCATTAGCGCCGACACGGACCTGCAAATTACCGAATGTCAGTAATCAGGCTTAAGGGAAAATATTAACAAATCGTATACTTCAAACTAGCCATATCAAGTTGTACACTTCTTTTATATTTTTTAGTCTCTATTAGTAACCAGCACGTGTAAATAGAGATAAGTTACTCCGGGTAACAACATGGGATATGCTGTTCAACATGAGCAGCTTTATACTCACGTGCTCAGCTGGAAGCGAACAAAGTTCTTGATGTTGAGGAAGATGTTCTTGCCCTCCCTGACAGCTTCCACGATTGCAGACATGTCATCATTACCAAGGACCATTTCTGCAGCTTCCTTGCATACATCTGTGCCCTTGCCCATGGCAATACCTGTAAAAGGAAGCTGATAGTCTTACAGACGAACATTTCGACTTTCGAGTACTTGATATAACCTGACTGCATTTTTGTGATAAAGTTACATTACTGATTAAGGGCAAAACTGATTTAACGAATATGCTTAGTCAGTTTTGGGCGTTTCCAAGCTCTTCCGAGTAAGACGACATAGAATAATTGTAGACTGTGAATTGTGAGCAGAATAATTTAGTTAGTGTGGTCTGATTGTAGTAATACAAGCCAGGGAATAATATGTTAAATTACAAGACATACCAATGTCAGCACATTTGAGAGCAACCGCGTCGTTTACACCATCCCCAGTCATCGCTACGATCAGACCGTTCGATTGTAGTGCCTGCAAATTTAAAACGGGAGTTATTTCATATTTTGCAACAAAAATGTATTAAATCGACAAGGAACCGGACCAGACATCATAGTACGACTACGAGCACTGGGAGGCTTGCTGGTTATTATCCCGTCCATTTGTTACCATTTTTTTGCCGTTTTAAACCTTTTTCTCAAACGAAAAAAATGAGACACTGGATTTCATACTCAAGGGTTGAAATCAAAAATTTATTTGAGATTCTTCGAATTTTGATATCGGGTAGCTAAAATGTTTCTATGGAATAGCCCTTCGGTTTCAATATAACTACCGTTTACCACAGCACTGTACTTGTGAGATGACTGTTGAGATCTAGATACAGGGAACACATAACTGATCACTGCATCTCACTTCTCACTTCTCATTCTTGTGTAAAGCTTTTACTTGTTTAACTCTTGTTTCCAGTTCCTAAACTGCAGAGCGTTTAGTTTCACAATCCTCGTCAGTAACATATACACATGATTTCTGCTTCTGCAATGTACTAGCCCCCTTTGAACGGTGCATTAACTCTATCTCTGTCTATGCAATCCTGGATCATGGCCACATTCCTTTGTCTCTCTGCCGAGTGTTGAACCTAACTCTCTCTACAGTTGTACTGTGTATTTGGTAATGACATGGTACTCGTACGATTGCGATTTTTGGCCGTATGATTGGGAACGTTTGTTAGGATTAACTGTGTTAAAAAACCTTCTAATTCTCAGTAATATTATCTAGTGATAATCTGATCTTTCTAACATGTTCAGATAGAACAAAATAGTATAGCTCGATCATATACGTACGACTCCTTTAAAATCACTGATATGTTTACATTTCAGAAGTATTCGAACCACTGTAAATTGAGGCTAAACTGAATCCAGGTTCTATCAATTCTGTATTTTCGTCGGTTTTCTTCGCTTTAACTTTCAGTATAGCCAATTTGTACGTCAAACACCCGTCTCATGTTGAATATTATATTCCTCGATATTTCAATAACTTTTCTTTGCTAAAATCTGTTTCAAACTTTCGAATAAACACAAACCACATCTTGCGGCGTTACCCCCTGAGTGACACGTGCGTACTATACAGTACACACCTTTCGTTGTCCTAATATAATTTCATTCGGAGACTTTGCTTGTATTAGTAACTAAGGGTCTTGTAATCTTGCATAATGTACAAAGCGTGCATGTTTGCATTTTTGTAGTGCAGGTTTGAATTACAGGGGGATTACAGTTAATAGTTTGTAAATTTATGTTTATTCGAATATTCACACTTTCGAAATTTCAAAATGTTGTTACCTAAGATATCATGGCTGTTTTGCTTTTTGTTAAGGCAATATAGACAAAAGTGCATAAATGCATACTAGATTGTATACTACATTGTATTATCGTTTACTTAGCTTTGATGGCATAACAACAAGAATACTAGAATAGTGCTATTTACTGCTAAGTAAAGCTACCATTTTAGCAAGTGTTCATTATTATCCCGCCCATTTTTTACTACTTCAATTGCATTAAAAATTAAAATATGTTAAAGCTCATTCATAACGAAAATATTTTAAACCTTTTGCTTGCTAATAAAAGCTGCAGCAAGTTAAAAATACGCGCTAGCAACTTGCATTTCCTCTAGTTGAATCAGCTGCAACAAATTCTTTTTGGCAGGCATGTGTGATGGGGACAAAGACAAAACAACTGATCCAGAATGCTCCTCTGTAAGTAAAAACCACTTTATTATAAAGCACTACATCATATTTTATGTTAGCCTAATTTTAAATCTTTTACCGAGCCATTTCATTTGAAATTCTTGTGTATTGCACCTTATGTATATAACTATGAGTAATCAAATCAGCAATTAGATGTCATATTATTTTCTTCGAGCATTGAATTTTAAACATGGTAAAACTCCCAGACTAAGATCAAATGGGCACTCAAAGCCTTGTGTTTTGGGCAGCTGCTAGCCTTCTGTAATGCCCTCTCCGGCATTTTCAACCAAATCATCACTTCCAAATCCACGGTAAGAAGCTACCGCTTTTATGGATATATATTTCCAGATTTATGCATATTTAGATCTATTTTCTATATTAACTCCTACGTAAATCTCAGTATCTCTTAATACGAAAAATCATTCTAGCGCTAAATCTCTCAAAACACTTAACTATTTCAGGAATCTCTTAATTATCAAAACAACTATTTCAGGAATCTCTCCCAGCCTGTCAGACTGCCCTAAACTACATTTTCATCTGCCTCACATACGGACTTTACCAATTTAAGAAACACGGACTCTCCCTCCATCTCTCCAGAATGGGTATCAAGTGTTTTGCAAACGCAATCATAGACGTTGAGGCCTGGTACTGGATCTACAAGGCCTACAACCTTACCTCCTTAACCAGCGTTCAATCGCTGGATTGTTTATCCATACCAGTTGTTATCATAATATCCAGGTTCTTCATGCACAAAGCGTATAACTGGTACCAGTACGGAGCCATACTTCTCTCTGTTCTGGGTGTGATGCTGATTGTGTACAGTGACTACGATCCCAAGGACTCTGCCAATATACAAGGAGATATCATGTGTGCATTGGGAGCTTTGCTCTTCGGAGTCAGTACTATATGTCAGGAGTGGATCATTGAGGAAGCGGGCATTTACGAGTACATGGGAACGGTATGTTGGTATGCGATAGGGCTCAGCCTTGTGAAGGTAGCGGCTCTGGAGGGTGGAATTTTAATAAAAGTTGTAAGCAATAATCCAACCATAACATTGTATATGGTAGCTTTGGGAGTCTCCCAGTTTGTCTTTTACTCCATCATGCCCAAAATGCTTCTGAAGTTTGGAAGCGGAGCCGCGACTATCAATATCCTGGCTGCGGACCTCTATGCAGCCGTGGCAGGGGTTCACCTCTTCAAGCTGTCCTACGATGCCTGTTATATGGCAGGGATGGGGATAACTTGCGTCGGCATCATAATCTACACTCTTAAAGGAGATGGAAAAGAGGGAGAAGTTCAATTCAGCGACGAGAGTTCGGACTCACTATTGACATACTCAGATAAGGACATTAACTTGGACGTTGACTCTTTTTTGAAGTGTGAGGTACCGTCATGATGGTGTTTACTAGTGTAGAATTCTTAAATCTTATCAGAGGACACTGCCTAGCGGCTTTTTCATTATACTTTAATATCAGTGGTGTTGTTTTCGTAACTTTTAACTTAGTTCTTTAACTTTTATAGGGTACTTGAAAATACCTTATTAAATATGTTGAATATATTGAAATCGTCTAATTCGTGACAATTTGTGTTTATCTGAATCCATTGTCATGGTAAAGTGAAAACTTTGGTACCTTAATCACGCCAGTGCAAGAAACGTTAGAGTACCGACTTACTACGGGGAGGGGGGGGGGGACGGGGGGGGGGGGGGGGACACTTACTTTGATAACCTTCATCTTGTGCCTGGGAGTTGAGCGGTATACGATAGAAACTGATTTGATGGCGTCGGAAAGCTGTTCCGTGCTCATTCCGTCTATCATATCTCCTGGTATTTATAACATTAATTAAATAAATGTACAACATTTATTATTATATATAATAGTTGTTGTATGTACATTGATTTAATTAATACATATAAAATTACAAATACTTACACCATGATAGTTAATCTAGAAAAATCCATCAAATAGAAGGGAATCGAAAGGCCTAGAAAACTCTCATATTATATTATCAATAGACCTCATTTAATGGTTTTGTTCTTTACTCACCGCTAAGGGCTGTATCACTCCCTCTGTAGATGTCAAGTTTTTGGCCGATAGAAATGGCAATGTTCTTGGAGTCTCCGGTGATCATCTTTATGTTTATGCTATTGGCATGTAGTTCATGGATTGTCTGCAAAAATCGAACTAATATTAGAACCTATTGGGGAAAGCTAGGGTCTCAGATACATTATTCGGTGTTTTGTGCAGACCTTTTGATGACGCTATCGTAAAATAGTCGACTTTTCTCTACACCACTCTCAAATTATGACACTTGAATCAGAAAACTCACGTCTGGAACTTCGTTTCTGAGAGGATCCACAATACCAACGTTGCCAACGTAGACGAGACTATTCATCGTGCCTCCGTAGCATAAAGACAAGGCTGCAGGAAACTTCATTGAAAAAGAATCACAAAATTTTGTATCAACATATATTATGCGACTAACATGCTCAGCAAATTACGTCTTAAAAATGAAAACCATATAGGCGATCAAAAAGTTACTTTGGGGTTACTTTATTTTGTATAACTATTTGAAGGTAAAAATGCACAGCGCGAGTCCGCTGACTAGAAAAATTTAGAGTTAAAAAGAACTCACTTCTCATGCCCCTGTCCTCTTTTTCCTGCACTACATTTATAATCGCATCTTTGGATTCTGCGTTTAATAACTGGAGAGCTCCATCTATCAGTATATGGGAGCACACTTTCAGGACATTTTCCGTCGCTCCCTTTACGTAGTAAATACCGCTGTCACTCTAAAATAGTTGACAGTCATAATTCTCCTTACTTTAGCAATCATGAAACCATCAACGACTGCATTTGCTAAGTTGGATATAGTTCAAAATTCTGGAAAAATAAAAGGGTTCAGAATTTAAAATCCCGTTACCGTAGATTTGGAAACACACTTCACGCCCATCCACTTTCTCTCGTGAGTGAAGGGAAGCTCCTCTAATCTGGCAGTGTCCTCTATCGCGATGTTTAGTTTCTGCGATAGAGCCAAGAGAGCTCCATCAGTGGGGTTACCGAACATTTCCCGGTCAGTTATTTGGGAGTTGTTACACAGATAACCGATTTTTGCTATCACAGCCAGATCTTCAGGACATCTCGTAAGAACCTTTTCGTTTAGGAAAAGCTGACCTGACTCAAAGTAGCCCGTACCCGATAACTTATAGGTGTTATCACTGCTGGTAGTCACTTCCGTCACTGAAGGATGGAGCAACAATGATACAAGAGGCCTGGATAATGAATGCAAATGATGGCCAAAATTGGTCGTTGTCGACATTCAGTATTCTAGAAAATAGAGATATCTGGAACATCTTACAGCCAGTTTAGTTATAAATTTACAAATTCAATTATAAATGAATTGCGATAAACAATCTTAGGCAACTTGGTCGTTTAGCTCCGGACAGTCTATGCAACGTCTATGCAACGTCCATGCAACAACAAAAGAACCGTCTATGCAACGTCTATGCAACGTCCCTGCACAATGAACACTCTATGCACACTCCCTGCACGGTCAGTCTATGCAACGTCTATGCAACGTCTATGCAACGTCCCTGCACAGTACCATATGAACACCGGCTACTAGCCGGCTAGTAGCCACTTTTGTAATAACAGCTCCTCAACTTCACATTAACAACCGGCTACTAACCGGCACTTGAAAAGTGGTCACTAGCCGGCTACTAACCGGCTACTAGCCGGCTAGTGACCACAAAGTGGCTACTAACCGGCTACTAAGCGGTCACTAGCCGGCTATTAGCCGAGCTCTAAAGCAGACCTACTAGTAGCCGGTTCCAAACCGGCTACTAGCCGGCACTTAGAAAGCGGTCACTAGCCGGCTACTAACCGGCTACTAACCGGCTAGTAACCACCAAGTGGCTACTAACCGGCTACTAGCCGGTTTAGAACCGGCTACTAATAGGTCTGCTTTAGAGCCGGCTAGTGACCGGTTAGTAGCCGGTTAGTAGCCACTTGGTGGTTACTAGCCGGTTAGTAGCCGGTTAGTAGCCGGCTAGTGACCGCTTTTCAAGTGCCGGCTAGTAGCCGGTTTAGAACCGGCTACTAATAGGTCTGCTTTAGAGCTCGGCTAATAGCCGGCTAGTGACCGCTTAGTAGCCGGTTAGTAGCCACTTTGTGGTCATTAGCCGGCTAGTAGCCGGTTAGTAGCCGGCTAGTGACCACTTTTCAAGTGCCGGTTAGTAGCCGGTTGTTAATGTGAAGTTGAGGAGCTGTTATTACAAAAGTGGCTACTAGCCGGCTAGTAGCCGGCTAGTAGCCGGTGTTCATATGGTACTGTGCAGGGACGTTGCATAGACGTTGCATAGACGTTGCATAGACTGACCGTGCAGGGAGTGTGCATAGAGTGTTCATTGTGCAGGGACGTTGCATAGACGTTGCATAGACGGTTCTTTTGTTGTTGCACGGACGTTGCATAGACGTTGCATAGACTGTCCGGAGCTAAACGACCAACTTCCCCAATCTTATTGAGGTAAATAATCTTACCGGTCATTTCGTTCTTAGTGAGGGTACCGGTTTTATCTACACACAGCACATTGACACACCCCAAAGTCTCCACCGAGGGTAACTTCCTGACGATTGCTTTCTTCTTACTCATTCTGATGACGCCTAGTGCCAGGGTCACTGTAACCACTATGGGGAGTCCTTCAGGGATAGCTGCTACCGCCAAACTGTGGGGTTAAGTAGAGGGTTAGATAATTTAGTGTCATGACAGCGATTAAAATTAAGTTTGTCTAGTTTCAAGGAAAATTTGTCTGCTGATGATTGGGGTCGATTAAAAATAAACTTAAATACCTGACGCCTATATTTAGCATCTGTTGAAAGGGTTGACCCTGGAGGAAGCCAACTAGCAATATCATTCCAATTATAGCGAAGGACATGAGGGACAAATGCTTTCCTAGTTTGTCCATGTTCTTTTGTAGAGGAGTCTTTGGCGTTTCCTGACGGTTAAAAATCAACAAACAGTCGGCAACTTGTCAAAGTCATTATTAAAAATAGTATCAAATCTCTCAAATGGAGCTTCTCGTATAAAAATAACGCAAGAAATTTTTATTGTCTTGAAATCAATCCCAGACCTCTGATTCCATAAGAGTGAAAATCTCTCCAAACTGAGTGTTGTATCCAGTGCCAATAACCACTCCTCTGCCGTGCCCATTGCACACGAGAGTGCCCATAAAGGCAATGTTGGTGAGCTCAGCCAGTTCCCCTTTGTTAGCGACCACTGGGTCGCTCTGTTTCCGACAGGGGGTGGTTTCTCCGGTGAAGGAGGACTCGTCCAGTTCTAACCCGGTGCACTGAAGATAGAGGGTGGCTCAGTAACGTTACTTTACAGACTACAGTCATATCATGAAGATAATTGTAATGTAGCCGACCCTTATGTCCTGTTTTAGTGGAAAATATTCAATTTTAAGATCCAAAACCATCTATCAAAACTAAGTGATGATCCTACAGAATGAATCATTTTACTCTCCTAAACTCTTCTTCAAACTACATGTAATATGTATATTACCTGAAGAAGTCTGACGTCAGCGGGTACTCGGTCACCAAGTCCTATCTCTACAATGTCACCAGGTACCAGCTCTCTGGCTAACAGATCTTGTTTCATTCCGTTTCTGACACTGCGATCATAATCTTACATTAATCAAATTCAATGCATGAAAAAAGATAATCTTTATTCGCGACAATAGATAGCCATAAAATAAAACGATTATTCTCAGATAAATTCCAATAACCATGAACCAACCAGTGGGCGATAGGCGGGACAAGGTTGTTAAGGGCTTCAAGAGATTTCTCTGACCGATATTCTTGGATAAACCCCACTAGTGTTACAATTATCACCGCCTGAAATTATTCTTTACAACGTTCCTTTTGAGGAAACAATACATAATGGCGCATGGATAGAATATTCACGCTACCCGCTTCAATCCTCTTAATGTACCGTGAATCATGTCGTGTATTGTGACAGCTCTTAGCTCAAATAGCACATAATCTTTGAAAATTTCTACATTAAAGTGGACATACCACGGTGATACTGATAGCATCGTCATATTGCTGAGTAGCGACTGAGATGACAGCAGAAGCGAGTAACATCATGATCAGGGGATCTTTGAACTGAGACAAAGATTATATACTGAGTATAATAATACACAGTCACAAAACTTAATTAGGTGTCAGTCAAAGTGATAATATGTCGGTAAATCTGTAAGTCATGTCAGTCTATGAGAAACTAGGGTAACACCTACCGCCTCGATCAGTTTAAGGGCCACATGAGGCTGCTTCGACACAAACTCATTCCAACCATACTCCTCTCTGATATCCGTCACCTCATCCAACGTAAGTGACTCTAAAGAATTGCAGGACTTGGTGGCTTCCTTGAAATGATCATCTTTGCCGTAGATCACGAGCTGGGCGGGCTTATCTTCACTATCAGATTTGTCTGGGATTTGATTATACCCCATATTCCTTATCCCTCACCACATGTCTCAGAGCGTTACATTTAGCTTTAGGTGTTGGTTAAGGTTAGATCAGCTCAAATTTCATTTATTTCGAACTCTTTTGATCTAAGATCACATCGAACATTAATTCATGTGGTAAGAGGTTCAGGGACGTAGCCAGGATTTTTCTTTGAGGGGGCTGTCGGCGAGCGAAGCGAGCCGACGCGTCCAATTATCCAGCTGCGCAGCGAGCGAAGCGAGCAAGCTGTGGCAGGGGTCTGGGGGCGCAGCCCCCAGCGGGGTCCAGGGGCGGAGCTAGGGGGTGCAGCGGGGGCTAGGGGGTGCAGCCCCCCGGAAAAATTTTGCGAAACAGGGTGTTTTAGACGACATTTGGCATTAAAGAAATTTGTAGGACAGCAATAAACTGGGATTGAAAAGAATCAAGTACTCACGTAAATTTGGTAACTTCACAACAGCAATCTGCATTCTCCAATCAGAATTTACGACTTACTCAGGCCTCATCGTCTTAAGATTTTTACATTTCCTACGGTCTAGGGGACACTATTGACTATTTATAGAAGTCTTCTAGAATGTTTGCTTGTATTTTATGACAGATATTTACTAATCCACAGTTCGAATCTTTGGCTGACTGCAGTCATAAACACGGCCCAGTTACCAGGCGACCATGGGGACTAGGGGGCTTATCTTTTTTCTGGGGTTCGAATTTTTCCGGGGGGCTGCCGCCCCCCTAGCCCCCCCCCCCCTGTCTACGTGCCTGAAGAGGTTTTATGACGTTGTTTAATATATATAATGAGGTATCAGAGATGACCACAAGGACAAGATTGGAGCCGAACACCCTAGCTAGACGGTACGTGACGCATCACGTGACGCGGGTTCGTTCTAACTAGACGGTACTAACAAATACTCGATCACGGTGCAAACAAATGTTAAGGACAACAGGACACTTCAAAACTTTTAACATAACACGAAGAAATATGGACAGAACTGAACGAGAACAAAAACCACATTCAAATACTGAGGAATTAGGAGGACTCAGACTCTGCAACCCAGGAATCAACTACTTGGCTATCAAGTATCATCGCTCAATAATCGGTTTGGTATCGACGTTAGATTCTTTGATTTTCCTACTTTAAAGCTGACTAAAGAAAACAGGGAATTAATTTTACTTTGCACGAGAAATCGATTTAACGTGGTCTCAGAACCCACGAAACACTTCCTTATCCCTCAAAATTGATGTTTTACAGTTAATACGAGCAACAAGCAACATATATTTTGATCCTTCGGTTCATCTCATGAAACAAATGTGCAATGTGCATCACCTCTCTCTTGTGCTGAACAGGTACTTACTATTAAAAGTAAACAAATGTATCTCACCTCCCCACGAGAATCCACATCTATTCAGTCAGACAATTTGATCATGGTAATGTTGTCAAAGATGAGGTATTGTTTCCAGAATGAAACAAATGAGATGAGAAAACAGCGAAACAATATCAACACAATTATTCAAAGTATGAGATTGGACACATAGCGTAACTTATCATGATTATGTTAAGGAACCTAAAACACTTTGAATATAGGGTCCAACAGCAGTTAGCACATTATAAAACTATATTGGACTAATATTATCTACAGTCTCCATTAAATTGATATCATGCCATCAAAAAATTCGAAAAGAGACACAATAAAATATCACAACTCCATATTATCATATTATGAGCAATACCGTGATGACATTTTCTTCTGCAATTTACTAATGATACCAGTATTCCCACCATTTATCCCCCTAACGGCTATAGCAATACCGTGACCGAAGCCATAGTAATGTGACGTAACGGTTCAAACCTCTCTAGAGAATGTTCCAGGTTCAAATGATTAATAAACTTTCTCTCATTAATCTCTGCTATAGTGAGAAGCCCAGTCCTTTCACCTTTACTTTGAAACGACCAATAGTGTTGTAGTGAGCATAAATCATGAAGTATTTACAAAAGGAAAGCTAAAGATGACGTGAAGGTACAATGTACATATAATATGTGTAGGGACAGGATTTTATAGTTAGGTGGGTGGTCACCATTCACCGTGTTTTAGGGCGAGGAGAACCATATTATATTTTATACAAAACAAAGAGAAACAAGATGTATCATAAACAAGATGAATAATTAACAATGCGAAATATTGACAATTAGCAGCAAATTTTCTATGAGTAACACAATCAATGTAACGATATTACACAATAAAACAATAAAAGACTATCTTACTATATATAAAGCGAGACGATATATATATATATATTTATTTATCCGTGCCATTTTACTGACACCACGGCATCAACTTTAACACGACTTTCCGCAAAAACCGTAAAAGATATACAACTGAAACTTTTTTGACTGGGTCAAATGCTTTAATGGCCTTCAAATCAGCATGAAAAAATAAAAAATTGGCCAAGAAATAGGAGTTTTAGAGCCCAAAATTTGGACCCCCAAGTGGTGTCAAAAACGCGAATTAAATAGGTAATAATCATTTTAGTCTCTTGAGTCTTGACACCACTTTAGGGTTAGACGGGTTCCTGCTAGTAACAATAATTACTGGAAACACTTAATCCAACACACCGACGTACGGGGACTATACCAAGATTACTCTATTGAGGGGATCAATGGACAATTGAGGCTCACGTGCACGAATACACTCACTGATCAACTGTCGATAATTTTTACATTAACTCTGTCAGTGCCATGTAGTTGTGTCTAAATCAGTCTTTTCAGTTGGTCATCTGATGTCATAAGAATGTAACGTGAATAGTGAATACGTTAAATAAAATAAATGATTATACAATATACATAAATCATAATCAAGTAACATTAATTTTGATAATAAAATAAGATACTTACGCCACTAAGGTACTTAATAATTAGGGACTCTTCCTCCTTTTCTCCAAAATCATTCATTCCATGAGTCTTTTGGCGCCTCTCTGCGTCTGAAAGAAATCGAAAATTATTGTGATATTGATAAAACCGGTCTACTTATCAGAATAAATTTTATTCGACATTCAACACGTCACACGATGTCTCAAATTGCTTCCTCTCTTGGAATTAAATGATAACAATAAACCTGGTGGAGAGAGCCCTAAGTTGGGGTCGCTGTTCCACTCTAAGCAGACATCATCTGCGCGCACAGTGGCTGCGTGCGCTGCCTGTGGCACACTCTGCTGGGACACCATCCTACTGGACCAATCGGTCCTGGATGTTTGAGGATCAGTATCGGACATTAGGTCCATGGAGATGGAGGATGGGTTAGGTTCATCCTTTATTTCCTCCAAAAGCCATCATCTGAAGCGACGGATTTATTTAAAAGATTTATTTACAAGAACTGGCAATTTTGTCGTCGAACGATCATTTCAGTTAGAATATACTTCAACATTCCACAGTAACTACAACTACCTGAACAGGAACATTTAACTATATAATAAAGCTCTCAAGCTCTGGGCGTATACACATTACACATTACACAATATACACAAAAAATTTTTATTTAATTTAACATTTATGTTCTCCTAGGACTCGCCTTCCTAGAAGAGTCTGATACCACAATAATCAGAATATATAAATTTAAGATATCAACAACAGCTTAATTATCAGAAAATAACAGAAATGGTCGCATTAAACGCAGATATTATTAGTACCGTAACAACTTAAAAGGGAAAAGCGCAAATTCCACAAATATTAATAGCACATGACAAAAAGCTCACTCGCCCTTAACGAACACAAAGCCAATGGTGGAGCGAATAAGAACTGATGATAACTACATTATCGTCAACATATTCAAACAAAACAGGGAACGCAAAAAAAAATCACTCTTCAACATTTTGCCACACAAACTTAGCAAGACTCTTGAGATAGCTGAGAGCACACTCGTCTGTACCATACAGGAACATAAACCCGTGATTTGCCTGACTTTCCTCCACATACTTCACCCGGACCCCACTGTACTCCAACCACTTAGCGTAGTGCTCCCCATCGTCCCGTATCGCATCCCTGGTTAGGGCTAACACAAAGGTGGGGGGTAGACCATTTGGGTCATCGTCTAGCAGCGGGAAAGCGTATACGTTATCTAGGTTATCTGGCGATGATTCTAGACTTCTCTTTACCGCGAGATCTTTACCAGTGACTGAGGTGTCAACGACTGCGGACCAGTAAGCCGGGACACCTTTATATTGGGCAGGGTCCCCAGCTTTATTGTTCAGAGACAGATCCCCAGCGATGTAGTACGACACGTATTTTCTAAGATTAGTCAGGTCTTTCTCTATGTAGGAGCCGTAGCTATAGTTGTAGGACTGCAGCACCGGGTAGATTAACACCTGGGTGTTTTTCAGTGCAGTAGGGTAAGGAGTAAGGAGTAGTATATATACTGTATATTGTACGTGTTCATGAGATTCAATTATGTTAGGTCTCCATACAATGTCACGTAGGAAATGAGATAAATGGAGATACACTGTATACACTATACAGGACAGGGTGGCTGATAATATAAGAATGTCAGGTAAATAATCGTATTTGATACAATGTCATCACTTTCCGTACAACCAATAACTTGTTAGTTTAAAAATTGTATATGAAAATGGGCGTGCCCTCTTGCGTGATGCACTCACATATTATTTTATGCAATATACTAATTATATTTACCGACGACTCTTATGAATGGATAAATTAATGATTAACAGTGGAGATAGAAATATATGCTATTGAAGAAATGTGTCCTATTGGAAACGCTATCCAGTCAAAGTCATGCAGGCAGCAGGTTGTTATGTACTGTACAATACACATGACAGTCCAGCTATATAGTGAATCGATCGAATTAAGCTAAGTTGCGCGCGCGCCGAGAAACTTAGACTGTAATGAGTTCTAACAGAACTTTTGTCATCGCGCCTTCCACTAAAGTCAAATTCTAGTGTGACTGTTTGTGCAGGCACTCCATAATATGTGAAAGACTCTTTTTGCACTTTTACATTCCTATCTGCTGCTCAAGCGACAAGCGGTACAGGCAATTTTATCAACCCTTTTATTTGAACCAGGCACTATAATTGTTTAAGTGATAAATTAATTTAAGAGTAAAGATAATGAAATGAGCGGCGTCAGAACAAATAGTCGACAATAGTCGAACGATTATGGTACACGATTTTGTCAAGCCAGTTGCTTGTCAAAGGTGGTTCATCGGTCATTTAATTCACAGAGCTATTTCATTATCACTATCTAACACACAATTTATTCTAGGTCACAAGTCAATTATGCGTACCAGCTGCCGTTTTATTGTTGGTATCAGCTTGTCGTCCTCAACTTTGACGGTAATTCAATGAGGACCTAGGTTATGCTGCGAAATCATTTTATCCATTATCTTTAAATTTAATCATGACAGTGGATCACAACAACAATACAAGTTCATACAACAGTAGAAGACAAATAAATAGTGCTGAATTATTAAGATACAGAAAAGCAGAGGGTTTGATGACTTTACGAGATAATGGGTCTTATATAGTTGGTATAGATGTTTGCGATGATTCATACAGCCTATATAGTGACGACACGAAATTATGTGCTGCCCACCTACATTTTTTCCTTAATAAAACGAAAAAAAGATTATGCCTTTTTTGCTGCCCCTTACAGCTTCTTCCACCTATCAGCAAGTTGAAGTTGCTGCTAAAAGGCTAAGAACGGCCGTGCTACTGGTCCAGATGACATCCCCGGTGAACTTGTCAAATACTCTAATCAGGTAGTTTTTCCCGGTATGCTGACTGCCTCAACAACTCATTCATGACCAACTTGTTCATGACATGCTTTGGTCAAGGAAATATTAAACCTATTCAAAAGCCAAAGAAAGTGCTAGGACCTCCTGAGAATGTAAGACCAGTGACAATTGTGACTTGCCCGCGGAAACTACTGTCAGTCATTATATTGAAACGTATTCAGACAAGCTTGATGCGTACACCGGAGCAACACAGTGCTGACGAGATTAGCGAGGCTACTCCTGACCAAGACCATCATAAGACTCAACGTCAACGGTACACTCTAAATTGAGTTTCAGACCACTACCGGGGCATAACTAAACCAAACAAACATAACTATAAGGCTGCAGGTACCAACGAATTGAATATACTGTATCTGATAAACATCATGTACAGAAACAGACTTTATGAGAAGGCCAAGGTTTAACTTGGTCTTCAGGATAATGTATTTCCTAGTGAACTGACTTAAAACAAGTACCGAAATGGCCGATGGCGTACATGTTATCTAGACACTGGTGAGGACTGAGGACTGAGGAAGCGAAACATGTTTGTTTGGACACTTGACCACGACATGACAGTGATTCTGGACTTTGATTGATCGGTCCTGGAAGCTAATTTTAAATCGATGTCATGTGTCAAAGCAAGAATGGGTCACCTCCTCAAGAGAACGATATGAGGCCAAACTGCAACTTGCAACAATTACGATGTAATATCACAATATTACAATATGTTAACAAACAACGTGAGATATAGTGCAGTCACACCAAAACGTGTGCACAGTGCACACGACCACACGTACACTACACAAAATATGGTACTACAGTACAACTTCTATATACCGGCCATCTAGGAGGGGGGGGGTGAAAAGTGCACGGCATAGGGAAAAATCCCGGTATAGAGAGGTTCATATGATCCGGTTCTCCAGTATCTATAGCCTCTCAAATAACATGGCAAACTTCTTATAAACCTCATTAGGGTCCTTATATGCACGTATTGCGTCGTGTGGTGATAGAATCGATATATGCACTAAAAACACCACCAAATGCAATATGACCCATACCATGGGAATGTATGTATTTCTTGAACAAAACAAGTTAAAAGAAGATGTCCGGTATATCGATGTACAATGTTTATTGTACCCGGTATATAAAGGCACGGTATAGGAAGGTGTGCAGTACAACATTAACTAGAGTACTACCCATAATCACCCTCTTCATAATTTCTGTACAATTAGCATAGGAATTAGAAGGTCTCTGTTATATCTTATGTACTCGATTACGAACACAAAATTAGGGCTACCAATTGACTAATTTATACGACATTGTACATTTTCATATCACACTGCTCTTACGCCATAAAATAATATAATATATTAAATTAGTACTGCTGTGGCAATATTCCGTGAGTTTGTTCAATTGTAGGTAATCCCTTTGTTTCAATATTCTTAGGAAGCCAACTTTGATACATCACTACTCACTAGGCGAAAATATCCAAATTACTGAGTTATAATGTTTTCCATTTCTACTATACGTCATACTGATGATAAATTAAGTTTTGATAGCAAGTATCATATCAATTTATCAATATAAAATCTCCTGGTATAGGATACTTTGGCGGAAGTCACGAGGGCGAAGGACCCAAGCCAAGGGCGGAAGTTTATTCGGGTAAATTGCCAAAATTGATTGATTACATTGTAAATTATATTAACTTTAAGCGTTTGAAGTTCTCTATAACCCTGTGTGTTTTGTAACTGTAAGTAAAGTTACAATGAATTCGAAATCAGGATCACTAAAATAATTGAAATGTAATTTATACAATTAGAAGTAAGTTGTGTGATGTTGTGGATGAAATGTTTGCTGGAAGATGCTGCAGCGTTTTCAGGAAACAATGATATAGATCTAGAAGGAGCGAGCTGGAGGGAGATTACGACACAAACGGGAGTTCATTGGTACAGGCCACTCGAATGATTGAGGAGACCTAATCAAGTAAGTGTGTGATGTTGCAGGTTTTGTAGTATTACTAGTTCAACATTTAGGACGGTGTATGGTTCCATGAAAAAGTTAGTCATGAGATCGTTTTTTCGCCCTCGTGTCCAACCTTTTAAGAAACTTCCGCCCTTGGGTCCTTCGCCCTCGTGACCTCCACTCTCGTGTCCTACGCTCGCATGATTTCCGCCCTCGTGACCGGTTCCAAAAATCTCCAGCGATGTGATTACCTTCATGGCTTTCTTAAGGGCCATCATTTCTTCATGCATTCCTAAAACGGAAAGCTAAAGATAGATTTCAACCTGGACAAAACAGCAAAGGGCCAGCCCCCGGCCCCGTTTACCGCTTGTATAAGTCCAGGTTTTGTCTTGAATCTACCCTAATATAATGTCTTGAGAGACATGTTACCTGAGCTCTAATAGCCGGGAAGGAGTGCTTATCTAGTTCCTTATCGTCTCTGTGTAGAGTTGTAGCTGCTGCAGCTAGATTCCCACCAGAACTGTCCCCCATTAATACCACTTTGCTAGCGTCTATACCTGGGGGAGGGGTGGTTTACAAACTTGTATTACACATGATTAAATGAGTTCTATGTATAACTCGCTTTGGCACTAAACCAAACCCCATATGAATATAATAATTATATATCAATTATCCAAACCATTCAAGAGTGACTTGTAGGAGCCAAACCTATTGTTTCTTTTCTTCCTACAAACTTATATAATATTAGTCAATTATAACTATTTTTGTGACTCTTTAATCTTTATATTCGTCAGAGTTACTATGCGAGCAAGTGCTACCGGAAAAGATTTGAATAAAATATATAATATAGAAAATGTAATCAGTTCATGATAAGCCACAAACGAAACGATACAAATTACAGGACCACATAAACATGATAGTACAGGGAAATCCGTCTGAAAAAATCGATCTGCTGACACACGAAGCTTTCAGAGGATTTTTGACGTTTTTGAGTCCCATTAGGTGCCCTTTATGGCTGACCAACTTTTCCAAACTTTTCCACGTGGCTTAAGGCCACTTTTTGCCACTTTACCACTTTTTACCACCTTTCTTGTTTGTCGAATATCTTTAGTTGTGAACATCGTAAAAGGTTGCGAATCAATCGAGTGTGTTCATATTATCAGGAAGAAAACTTTTGTCCTAACAATTTTTACGTCAGATAATAAGTTAATTGGATAATTATCAATTAACCAATTAGCAAAATTCTAAAAAATTTTTATTGGCTAAAAATGATCGGAATAGCTTAAAACACGGAGAAAAGTAGTTTTTAGAAAAAAATTTGAAAATTTTTCACTTACATTTTTTTTTCGAGACTTCGAAAAATTTCGAAAATTCAAAATATTTTTTTCCGCCAAAAGTGATCAAATTGCATGAAACGCGGAGAAAAATGATTTTCAAAAAAAACTTAGTCAATTTTTCGTTTCAAGAATACTTAAATCACCAATATTTGTAGTTGGAGTTTAGTAAATCTCGGCAGATTTTAGTAATAATCAGGAATTACTAACTCTAAGTGGAAAGGTCTGAAACTGAAAAACGTTAAGTTTAACCATACGATCGTGATATAAGAGTTTCATAACTAATTACAATACAGCCTTATCGATTTTCACAGAAACTGCACCAATGGCACAGTCAAGATCGAAACGATAGCCTGCTGTACTGTCATTTTATTGATTTCAATGATGAATCAGTGGGGTTAAGATTTGTAATAAATAAAACCTCTCTGTACCGTCAATTGTGCTAATCTAAACCGGCCTACTATATATACCTTTATTACCAGACCTCTTCTTTTCCTCAACAATCAAACCGAGTTGTTCATATCGCATTTGGTGGGTGATGTAAACTAAGTAGTAATACATATCGAGCTATATTCAATCACAATACGACACAATGCAACACGTGTATATTATATTATGGCCCTTAATGAGGTATATGAAATGTTCTATACCGTACACTTCTCGTTTCTCCCGTGAGAGGCCCGATATGAAGAGGTTTTACAGTTTATCACGAAAATGTCTACTTGGTCTCATGGCTCTTTGACAGCTCAAAGAAGGCAAGAAAAGACCAAAAAGCTTAGAATGTCAACTCGCAAGAGCGGGCTACCGGACAACTGAACCCAATTTAGACATTTCGATTAACCCTAACTCTAACCCTAACCCTAACCCTAACCCTAACCCTAACCAATTAAGCTGATTGGTTAGTGTGAACTAGGTTCAATTGGGTTCAGTTGTCAGTCTTCGATCTGTCCCACATTAATCCCGAGCTGATCATCATGGGCCCCGAATATCCTGCGGGAAGAACCTGTATTTTTACTTCACGACGTCCGGATTTCAAATCAACATCCTCAATAACATTAACAATCCTTCCTGATCAGGATCTGTCTCTATTAGCAATTTCCAAAATATCCTGACTCTCGTGGAACATGTCACTGAATTAATTAATTAATTATTACCGGTTCTTTACTACCCCTTGCCCGACACTGTACTCGTATCTAAATCTTACCCTTTCCCGTATGTTACCCTTGTTGATTTTACTTTTAGCCGACCCTGACATATGAGGGTGATTTGAGGTATCCCGCAAATGAAGCGGTATGCAGTACAATACAAAACAGTTACAGTAGATGTTGGAAGGTGTATATTTTACACTTGCTTCCTGGACCTGGCTGTTCCTCAGTTTCCCTGATCTGTTCTTGCCCTTCTTCGAACTGTAAATGGGCCATGAGACCAAGTAGACGTTTTCGTGATAAACTGTAAAACCTCTCTATACCGGGTTTCTCACGGTATAAAGCGTTTCATAAACCTCATTAAGAGCCATATAATATACACGTACTGTGTCGTATTGTGATTGAATATAGCTCGATATGTATTACTACTTAGTTTACATCACCCACCAAATGCGATATGAACAACTCGGTTTGATTGTTGAGGAAAAGAAGAGGTCTGGTAATACAGGTAGGCCGGTTTAGATTAGCACAATTGACGGTACAGAGAGGTTTTATTTATTACAAATGTGATTATCTTAACCCCACTGATTCATCATTGAAATCAATAAAATGGCAGTACAGCAGGCTATCGTTTCGATCTTGACTGTGCCATTGGTGCGGTTTCTGTGAAAATCGATAAGGCTGTATTATAATTAGTTATGAAACTCTTATATCGCGATCGTATGGTTAAACTTAACGTTTTTCAGTTTCAGACCTTTCCACTTAGAGTTAGTAAATCCTGATTATTACTAAAATCTGCCGAGATTTACTAAACTCTAACTACAAATATTGGTGATTTAAGTATTCTTGAAATGAAAAATTCTCTAAGTTTTTTTTGAAAATCATTTTTCTCCGCGTTTCATGCAATTTGATCACTTTTGGCGGAAAAAAATATTTTGAATTTTCGAAATTTTTTGAAGTCTTGAAAAAAAAATGTAAGTGAAAAATTTTCAAATGTTTTCTAAAAACTACTTTTCTCCGTGTTTTAAGCTATTCCGACCATTTTTAGCCAATAAAAAATTTTAGAATTTTGCTAATTGGTTAATTGATAATTATCCAATTAACTTATTATCTGACGTAAAAATTGTTAGGACAAAAGTTTTCTTCCTGATAATATGAACACACTCGATTGATTCGCAACCTTTTACGATGTTCACAACTAAAGATATTCGACAAACAAGAAAGGTGGTAAAAAGTGGTAAAGTGGCAAAAAGTGGCCTTAAGCCACGTGGAAAAGTTTGGAAAAGTTTGGAAAAGTTGGTCAGCCATAAAGGGCACCTAATGGGACTCAAAAACGTCAAAAATCCTCTGAAAGCTTCGTGTGTCAGCAGATCGATTTTTTCAGACGGATTTCCCTGTACTATGATAAAATCATAACATATTGCTATGTACATATTACATAGATCCAGTAATTTTGATGAAACATAATCTGAAATTACAGTCCTGTAATAATTCAATAACAAACCAAGTTTCTGAGCATTGAGTTGAGCCCACAGCACTGTGTAGTGAACATCTAGCAGAGGAGTAGGGAAGGGATGTTCTGGAGGTCTCCTGTAGTCCACAGATATAGTAACCATCTGGCACTCGTGCGCTATCCAGCTGACTGCGCTGTGGAACATGCGCGCCGTGAACATGACCCAGCCGCCTGAGGGGGAAGATGTGCGCAATCACTGTTATATCTAGAGAGGGGTACACAGTACTACACCGTGGGTATTGTTAAGGTCTTAGGTGTCAGTAGAATATTATGTCAAAGTCAGTTGTCTGAGTTGAGTCAGTACACAGTCCACATAATACACAGAACTTTTTCCAGTCACACATCTTCTTTTACTACTACTAACTATACTGGACACATCACACACTTTAAAGGCACCGCCCACTTCCTGAATATTTCAAACTTCGTGCAATGCGGGGGGGGGGGGGAGGGGGGGGGGGGGGGGTAAGACACGATGAATAGTTTTTCGAAACTGACTGAGAACACCTGAAAAACGAGAACTCTATATCTGCAAATGAGTATAATAAAACGCAATAACACGTCACAAGTTAAACAAAGAAAATGCCCAAATATCTGATACGAACAAAAGAGCTGGAACGGAGGATGTAACAGTAGCTGGCAGGTGGGATTAAACAACGCTGATAGAGACCGTTATTATAGCAAATGGTTAGATTTCAGTATTCATAATAATATCGAGCAGGTAATCAGAGTAGACACGATTTAGTAGTTGATCCTGGCGAAGCGTAACAGCAACTCCTTAGCAACACCAGTGTCGCAACTCCTAACAGGGCATACAGTTGTCGCAACGTTGTCGCAACGTTGTCGCAATATTGTCGCCCAATGTACGCACACTATAACACTATGTAAACTCCTTAATAATACAACTCCAAACAGGGCGCATTCAATACAGATCTAGCTGCTCCAAGTGTACGCACACTATGTAAGTATACAGTATATACTATGCCCTATGGTACTATGTTATTATGTACAATGCACAATGTGTTCGGAAACTGAGCTTTTAAGAAGTAAGATATGTTATGAAATTAGGACGTGTACAGTTGAGAAAATACAAGATAACAGGTACTTGGCGTGTTGGTGTTGTATATAAGCGCACATAGCAACGTAATTATCGGCTATTTCGTCAGGCGGTAAACCGATGGAGCCATTGTAAACCTTTTCATCACAATAGGAGATGTGAAAACTAACTTTACTTTACGTTAACAAAGAGGCGAGGTGCTAGCGAATTTGATACACAAGTACCACAACAGCTTCGGTAACATTTCATGTCTCCGGATGCCTCAATATACAACTTCCCGACTATTTCAAGGCAAGCCAGGAAAATAGAATCCGAGCACGGAGCAGAAATCAAGTTGGTTTATATTTTGTGTGTCTTGAAAGTTAGACTGTAGAAACTACACTTTCAGATACTTGTAATGTAACACCATCAAATGTACATAAATAAGAACGTTGAGAAAGGCCAGTGTAGTATAACACATCATGAAAGCGTGTGGGATACTATACCCACTACCCAGTCTAGAGAATAAGTTTATGCTTTATATAATGACTAGTGTAACCCGTGCCTACAGCCGGGACTTCACTATCGCAGTTGAAATGCAAAAGTATAAACCCGCCTATTATATTGGAAAACATGCATTACATTTTCGTAGTTGAACCGGTGCGAAAGTATGAAGTCCAAACAGTCCAAACAGACCGCAATTTAATTCAGAGTGCCCCTCACGTATCTAATAGTAATACTTGGAGGGGATTATTTAAAACATATAAGTGATACGAAAAGTTTGTTTTGGCAGGAGCTTTCAAAATACATGTGTAAATTATAGTCTTCAGCTTTTTACACACTTTATTCTTGATAGGGAATCTTGAGGTCTACCGTCAAATTACCTAAATATATAGCAAATCTGTTATGGAGGAGAGAGAGCGAGAGTGGGAAAGTGAGAGAGTACTTGAGACACTTAAGTATCACATCTGGGTCACAAAATGATCAATTAAACCACTTACCACCGGCCGATTTAAAAAACCTTAATCATTTGGCTTAGTCAGAGTTTTGTCGGCACTATACCGAAAAAACCAGTCCCATAACTCTAACCGTTTTCTTGATTAAGCCGCTCGGAAATTCTACGCGAACGAACGAACACACAAACACACATCTTGAGATTATAAGTGTAGATCATATTTTCCTACTTCATAAATCGACAAATCGGCTTGTGTAAGCTCTTTATGATTAATTATCAACTATTTTGTTGTCAACAAACAAGTTCCAATCATAGTTTTGTATCACGTTTTTTCTTAATTACGTTGTGTAGTAACATGTAAAATGTTACAAGATACCGTTAAGGCAGATAATTAAATACTGTTAATGATGATAGATAAGTATAACGTGAAGATTTGCACTTGTGAGTAATATCAGAATGTACAGTGTACAATGTACTAGACACATGACGTATTAACAAGGAATGTACAGTGGAATGCGGAACTACACAATTTGTTTAACATGTTCTCATAACACACAAGTTGCATGTTTTACTGTCACAAAAACGTCATATCAAACGCATTCACACTTCAGAATTATGGGCACAAAATAAAAAGGATTTTCGAGATCAATCAAAGATTGGTTGGTCTAATTTCTAAAAATATTCATTGAGCTGATACGAAGAAGCGAGACACCCTGTTTAGTGTACAACATAGAGATTAGAGGTGTACTGCGTGTGGTTAACAAAGAATATTACAAGAAATGAGCAACAACAGCAACAACAGCAGTTGTTATTGCCACTCATAAATCATAATGGAGTCTCCATGAGTCAAACCATTGTCAGACCTCTCATCTAACGTTTTTAAACAACATCTATTCTGCTATTCTGACACCTATTTTTGTGATGTGATAAATTATTGTATGTTATTAAATTTTGATGTTGACAGTTCTAAATTTCTGATAATTTAACGATGAGACTAATAAATAATGTTCCTATTCAAATATTAAATAATTAAATTTTACATTGAATGAAGTACCCCCAGTGGCTAATTCTTAGTCATAATATTTCTATAGCCACCGACTGATTTTTGTAAAAATAAATATTTTTTGGGTTAGCAAATACTCAAACGATGTGACTTTAAGGAAAACTTGGTTAGGTTACCCATGAATAAATTTAAATACTGATCAATTTAATCAGTTTTAATCTCTGAATGATGTAGCAACAATTTTACGTTTCTAGAATTGTATTGATTAATGAACATGTCCGACTGAAGTTTTCGCGATGGAGAAAGATTTGGTCGACACTCGACTATGAACACAATATGAACACGCCTCGCACAACATTTTACTGTTGACCTAAGAAACGGTTTTTATGACCAAGGTGGGGAAATCTATAACTTGGTTTAAAACATTTTCCGGTCCGACTTAACAGATGGTGTTAAAATGTATAAAATTATCATTGTTACAATTATCTTTGTTATTTAGTTATTATTTGATCTCACTTTGAACTTCGTTAGTCATTAACTCCTAGTGTTAAATTTTTATAACAAAGGACAATTCTTGTGACCAGTTCTTAAGTTTCAGTAGAATTGACATATTCGCTACGAAAAATATGAAAGGCGTGGGGATTTATTGTGAGTAATTAGACTCCGATTGAATTATTAGACCAACATGAAATGTTGATGACTGATTGCCAAAATTCTTGACTAGCGGGTGTGCGATAAATGCAAAGTTATCTAATGAAGATGTGGGTTGTTCACGTTAACATCATATCCATGATTTCGATTTGACCAATCTGCTATTACCACGCATTTAAATTTGAATCATGTTTGAGGTAGCTGTTTAAAATGGCAACAAACGAAACACTATGGCAACAAGTAAACAATTAAATGTAACGTTTCTAAAATAATTACTATTCCTCAACGGTTCCGGGCCACGGTTACTGTAATTCAGCACAATTGAAGCACATAAAGAACACACCATATAAAGGATACCTTACACTTTATAAGCAAAGGTAAGAATGGCAATTCACTTTGTATACACTTGGGTGTGAATACGTTTAGCCAGGGGAGAGGAAGATAAGAAAGAGTAGATCACTAGTAAACATTGAACCACTAGCGGATCACACATACCACTAGCAGTAAATAATATTGGTTTTATACTAATAGTTAGATGTGTTAGCCACTGTTGGAAAAAGATGTTGTTACGCTCAAATAATTGTAGAGATGAAAGCTAAAAATGTTGTGGCACATTTGATTAAAAACTTTAAACTCAAATAATATTACGGCGAAAAATTAAATTTGCGGATCTTTTAAAACCCTCACAATGATTGTGATTAATCATTTTTAATGATTAACCATTTTTAATGATGGAGAAACTTCAGAATCAACGACTGTGAGCAATATCTCTGAATTTAACGGCATAGACAAATTTGGTGCAGCGTGCACCATCACTATTGATTAAGACACAACATATAATAATAAAATAAACATATAATAATAAAAGGCAACATAATAAAAGGCAGTGTGGTTTTAATCATGTGGACGCGGTGTTTTTATGATGTGGGGTAACAAACAAATGCAGCTAATTAAGATCGGCCACGTGATAGGACTACTGTTTGTTTGAAACCCCACGGTGGAGGTTGGCGTGTGCCGCAATTTATTGATCAATGGTTATTACATAAATGAAATTATAGAAGTCACACTAAAATATAATAATGTAAAATAAATATATTAAAATAAATGCCCTACTAAAAGTACTATATAACTAACGGTCTGCAAAACTGGTTGAAGTCGCAATTTGTAAACATGCTAATTACTATTTAATAATAATAGATAAAAAGTTTTGCGCGGCAGATGTAAATTCGGCATTGCATAATGGCAGTGAAATTAAAATGATATGTTGTTGATAAAAGATCATAGTCATTTGTCGCGAGTGATCTTTCTTTACGCGTTGTCGCTTACTAACTCGGTGCTGTAGTCTATTTGCGAGCGCCCTTCTCTTTGAGACTTTCTTAGCCCAGGTATACTATAAAGTAAGAAATTTGGCCAATTTTCATCGTCTCCTGAGCTTTGCAGCTTGAGGAGTTCGCGCTTAGCTGAATTTTTAAAGATTTCAATTGAAAAGGTAGAACTTGGAATAGTTATATCCTTACTTTGCTTTGTAATAGAGAGCATGGGTCCTTTGAAGAAAAGAGTATTTCTAAATGTTGGGCCGTTGTAAGTTGTGAACCAAGAAAGGTTATGTTCGTATGTGGAATTATAGGTGGGAATATCGTGAGGGAAAAGTTCTTTGATGGATTTAGGGAGAAGGCTTGGCATGTTCCTTACTTTGTGTAGTAGAATAAGAGCGTTTTTTACAATGACGCTATGGACTGTTAGGATATTATGCAATCTAAACGCACTTTTTGTGTGCTCCGGGGGATTGCCGTCTTTATATCTATAATTTACATATCCTGACATAACAGCTCTAATTCCCTGCTTTTGCTTGGTGAACAGAGATTCAATGTGACATTTTGAGGCAAAGCCCCACACTAAAGAACAGAAATTTAAATGGGATTGGATAAGGCTTTGGAAAATGTTTAGGCGGGCTTTGATAGGTAGAAGGTGCTTTAGCTTATACATAACTCCGAGGTAGCGACCCATCTTTATTCTAACGGCCGTAATGTGTTTTTGCCAAGTGAGCTTTTCGTCTAGGATCACTCCTAAAAATCTTGCTTCAGTCTTACGTTCGATTACAGTGTTGTCAATGGACAAATTAAAGCCGCTGAAGTCGATTCTTTTTCTAGTGAAAATCATGTAACACGTCTTTTTTACATTTAAAGATAGCCCATTAACACCTACCCAATCTACAAGACGTGAAATTAGCTGATTAGCTTTTAATTGTATTTCTTCTAGGGTGGTTCCACTAATTAATATGTTTGCGTCGTCGGCATAAAGGATGAACTTTGCAAAATCACTAATTCTAAGTTTACATAACATAACTATAACAAGTGTATCACTGTATAATATATATATACCCCTCATACATCAAATTAAGGTAGCCTAATCAAAACTTCGCATAACCCAGAAAGTCGTAAACTGTAAATCTTTAAAACCTGTTCAACAATTTCCAACATTTTGACACAGATGCGTTTGCTCACAACTGTATATATATAGCGTTTCAATACTACTCGCTATGATCATCGCCCATTCAGTACAACCTATCAATACAATAGAAGAATAGACTAGTTACCTTTGCAGCAGACCTACAAAAGGGGCGGAAATCCTGAGTGTTTTGATTAATTACCCTCCTCGACATTAACACTGAGGAGTTAAACCTAAAGCTAAGGTGTAGCTAAATGGAAAAGGCCGGAAATTATAAGAAATCACCGTGCCCCAACATTTATATTTAAGTGATTATGCAGTAATAGGACTAAATAGTTTCAGTAGATTGCCATATATTATGTGCCATACAAGAAAGTTAAATATGTTATCAGGGGCATTGGATTGTGTTTAAAATGTGTTATTGACGCAGAGTAACACTGCATTATTTCTGTCCAAAACGGAGATTTCTAACAAAAATTCAAATTTTCGGACAGAAAGGAAAACCATGGTTTGCACAAAAAGCAATAAAATGCCTTGTAATGAAATGAAAAGCTCCATTCACTTAATAAATGACGGATATCCAATGCAATATCAACTGTACTGTCACCAAAAACACTAAAAACGGGGAACCAAGTTTGAGGACAATGTTAGGCATTTTGGCTGTCTATGTTGTGTTGTGTGTTGTAGTCTTTCTAACAAAAATGTCAAATAGTATGTATCTATGTCAAGTCATATTAAGCTATTATGGTAAAAGACGACTTCAGTTTATAATACAAGTAAAGAAATAAAGAATTGAACTCTACTTACCACCGTGTGCATAAACAATCAATCCGTCGTTCTTTATAACTTTGGGTCGATAGATCATCATATTAATAGTATCATCTTTAATCTGCATCCTCTCATACGTAACCTCTGGATGGGGCTTCAGCAGCAAGGTCATGTAATTAGGTGCTCTCAAGGACTCCACATCAGAAACAAAGTTAAGATATCTAAGTGTCCTGCAGATTAGTGCAATCTGATTAAGCAGAACTGACAGGAACAGGGCCGCAAGAGATTCCTTGTTTTTTCTGATGAACTTTTTATAAAGCATTAACGCTACAGCTATAAGACAAGTAGCAGATAAGACGTAGGTTAGGATCATGGGAGAGTAGCACACAGCAATTGTCAGGAGAGCTAGCAGTACCCATAGTCGTCTCATAGCTGATAATGATATATTATTCAAAACTGGAAAATAATGAAATCTGTTGTGATATTTTTAATGTAAATTATATGGATATCCATTTTGAGGTATACAGCATAGCATAATGGTACTAAAATGATGGACTATTCTTAGTAAACTTTCAATTTCTTATGCAAAAACTTAGATAAGTTTTCTGCCATAATTTATTTTCATGTATCACTCCAGTTCCAAAGAAGAGCAAAACAATGAGTTATTGTGGGTGTAATTTTTGGCATCTTAGATATAATGCCAAGGCTTCCAACAGAATGATCCGGAACATGTTAAAATAAAACAAAAGTTAATAAAACAAAAGTTAAATTTATTACCAATTATTCAATCAATACATATCATAAATTCTAATATTGGAAACACAATGCACAATGGATGTCTTAAACTATAATTTTGTTATCACTAATAATCTATTTACTTTCAAAGTTGAAATTTAGTTAAGTATGAAATGCCACCACATCATAGTTAGGGTAAAATATTATTCTTAAAAATTTTAAAATTAAGAAGATTGCTCTATGACTTAAAATTTAAAATTTAGCAAAAGATATCTAATTTTTTAATAGTTGGTTACAGTTTATGACAGTACTGGCATGACCAATTTTATTGTGGCTGGTAAAAGGACCCAGTTGCCTGTAAGGGCTTTACCGAACCCCTGGGGACCACAGTGTGATAGGATCAGGCCAGATGTTTCTATGTAGAGCAATTTATTTATTTCGGAGGTATGGTTACGTGGTATAGCTGGTGGTCATGTTTAAAGGTCAGTTTATCCTTGTGTGCTAATTATCCATCAGATGCTTAGTGATGTGAGTAAATCATGCCCTTCTACGATATATAACGTTTAACTATAAATTTGTTTTTACCACAGAAACTGTGGCACTAAGGTCAAGAATTAAAAATTTTTACTCTCATTGATAGTTAAAGCGTGTTTTTTCCCCAGCACTACTACACAACAAAAACCTGTCGGCCCACCGAGGAAACACGGTCGCAGAACAAAGAGCCCAATTGTGCTCCTTTATTCTGCGATCGTGTGTATTTACTATTTAAACTAGCTAAATGCAGTTAGTAAAATTTTCTGGAATCATTAATTTCGTTTGATTAGTTTATGTGTCAAAGTAATGTCCATGATAATCATATTTTTGGATCCCCGGTGGGCAAACACTCGTCCCAAAGGCTAAGGCAAACCTGTCAATGTTTCACCATACGAAGTAAGGAGATTTGAACACATACTCAGCCTACAACTCCACCAATGGGACGAGACGACGTGAGCCTCAAAATATATAGCACATACCCAGTTAGCAAACACTATACACAACAAACATACGATACCAAACAATGTATAATGGGGGGGGGGGGGGGTAATGACTACCAATGGAGACTTTTGGGGACTAATGGGGACTAAAAATCGTGGGGACTAGAGGTCAACTCGTTGACGTAATTCACCATTTGTCCCCATAAGTCCCCAGAATTTTTGACAGTTATTTATGGTTTTCAAGTTAGTTTAATAACGATACGATCGAGATGTTTTGTCCAAGATAAGAGTAGGATAAATCTAAATGGGGACTAATGGAGACTTTTGGGGACTAATGGGGACTAAAAATCATCTAAATGGGGACTAATGGAGACTTTTGGGGACTAATGGGGACTAAAAATCATGGGGACTCGGGGTAAAATCGTTGACGTAATTCCCCAAGTCCCCAAAAGTAGTCATTACACCCCCCCCCCCCCCCCCCCCCCCCCCCCCCCCCCCCCCCCCCGTATAATGCCATTACTTCATTTAAAAGAAAATATATCTGCTATCTAATTTAAAAAATTGAAGAATAAACCTGAAGAGAGGAGAAGGAGAGAGGGGTTTGGGAGAGGTAGAGTAGGAAAACAACAGGATCCTGTGCCGCAGGATTTTAAAATTTGTTGTACAGATGATTCGTTTTGTGTCGTCTCTTAGATTAATATTAAAACAAAAAATACTGGGCAGAAATCAGATTGGAATTAGACCAGACAGGTCAAAATCCCAATAGATTTTGGTACCAAGGTGTGAAGGGCTGCAATATACTAGTTGTTCAGATGTTCACACATTTCACAAAGCGTTTGGTATCATGCACCCTGGAGAAATGATCAAGATATTGATATCCCCAATAAAATTGTAGGTACTCATACAGCAGATGTATGAGAAGACAATAGCCAAATGATATTCCCAATAAGATAGCATGGCAGTTACTCATACAGCAGATGTATGAGAAGATAATAGGAATGGGGAATGGCACAGGTGACAGGAGCAACAAGGGCTCACTGTTGGACATGGAAAAAGTGGAATGGAGGAGCTAAATATCATTATAAACGTGAACTTTGCAGATCTGAGGACATGTTCATGGGGCTAATGAGTCCCTGCTCAGAGTCAAATCGGCTGTAGCCTGTGCAGGATCACCCACAAACATCGGCAAGACCAAGTGATGGGAGGATTGATCATTGATCATGCAAGAGAACTTACGGAGATGTATGATTTAGTGTACATAGGCCCTTGAATCCCTTACACAAGCGAAACAATATTTGAAAATCCAGATGCTCATGTGAATAGTTCTGTTCTAAAGAAGAAATGTGGACACAGTCAATTGCTCAAGAGAAAATTTAGGACCGGACATACAAAAAGTCATTGTGTGGTATCTCATGAAAACAAGTTCAGGTTACATAATATCTTGTAAAAGGAATTCAGGTTACATAATATCATTAAACAAGATACAAAGTAGGAGATTTAAAATAGCATGTCACTCCCTCAGACATAATGAGCTGCTAGCCAGTTCAGCCCAAGCTGGGCCATCAATCCCAGGGCTTAGTTACATACATTATCAAATTCATGCAAGCTCCTGTTTCGTTTGTTTGTTTGGGGACTGTGGTCTACACAGCCAAACGATGAAAGGTGAGGGTCAAAGGTTACAGAAGGATAACCCCTGCCAACAATTAAATCTTACGTGTACCCTAGAATATATCAAACCAGTTGTCAATTCACAAGCATTCGCAATGGCCATGGAGAGCAATGTAAACAACATATAATATACTAGATTTACGATTTAACTATTGCAAAATGTGTTTTAACATTACATAAAATTGCTAGAAAACCCAGGATATGGGTAAGCAAATTTGAACGCAAATTTTTCATAGCGCTCGATTCTCATATTGTGATATCATATTGATACATCTTTTAACCTATCAAGACGCGCGCCGGGTTAGACTCGTCGACGCGCGCACCCCGGCGAAAGCCGCGGGCTTCATATTGCTGCGCGTGTTAAAACAAATTTTCGACATAAATTTGTCAGGAGATCGACTGTAATTCCGTTTACGAACCTTTTAAAGATATTTGACAGTGCCGATTCTATCCCTTAAAGGATTTTCAATAGTGCCGTGGAAAAATAAAACATCAAATTCATTCGTCTGAACATTAGTAAAGGTTATAATGATATCAAATCAAGATTTCAAACGCGTACAATCATTAACCCTAATCAAGTATTGTCAACTGTGATTAAAGATCAGAGCAAAGTATGCTATCCTATATGTAAGCTACAATGAGGAAGAAACAGCATTATACAACAGTATTACAATAATAAATATAGGTATAATACCAAAATGTAACTATTACTGCTAATAAATACAGTTTAAAGATAAACTTATCAAATTTAAAATTGACACGAAACTAATACGCGGTTTATATTAGAATGCAACACAAACACTAAACACATCAAATAGAAACAAAAAAAGATATCTCGCACTGTCAGTCATTACATATTACAATTAAATATAAATAACACCGAAGAACTCATATGTCAACAGCTCGAGTAGCGCACACTACTAGTACTATTCTCGAGTGTCTGACCGTGGCAGGGGAAACGTCCAGGGTTCGATGCCGCGACCGTGATCTTTTAAACATTTTGTGAAAGTCGTCTTTGTTTAAGAAGGTCCACTTCCAGTAGCCCATTTTCTCCCCACATAACATTTCTTCATCCTCAGCAAGACCTGTTTTATTTTCCATTACAGTAATTCCATGTTCCAATGAAATCTGACTCTTCAATTTTAATATCAGCGGTCGGATCCTGAAATATGGAAGTGAAACTCGGTAAATTTTTACAGTCAAGTAATACTATAACTTCTATTTGTAAAATTTTACAAGATTTGTTTCCAGTTTCGGACAAATTCACAATATTACTACATAACAACTTAGTAATGTAAGCAGTAAGGGCCCTCTCCTAATTTTAATCTGTAGAAGTGCACGTGCAAATAACGCGCGACTTCAATGCAAAAATACGCGTGTGCTCTCGGCGCGCGCTAAAACTCTGCGCTGAAAATATTGGTTTGGTACCACAACGAGAGTTTTAAAATTCCCGCTAATTCCAAACTCCAGAAAAAGAATCCGAAATTTTGGGACAGCCAAAAACATATTTTGATTAATGCTTTTCGACTTTATTTGTCCGTAAACTGACAACTACAGTAAATCTATTTTCTCTACGAACTGGGCACGAGTAACTTGTTTTAAAATACAGCAAATCTATCTTCTCTGCAAACTGGGCACGAGTCACTTGTTTTAAAATACAGCATATCTATCTTCTCTGCGAACTGGGCACGGGTAACTTGTTTTAAAATACAGCATATCTATCTTCTCTGCAAACTGGTTACTTGTTTTAAAATACAGCAAATCTATCTTTTCTGCGAACTGGGCCCGAGTTACTTGTTTTGAAATACAGCAAAACTATATTCTCTGCGAACTGGGCTTGAGTTACTTGTTTTGAAATACAGCAAATCTATCTTCTCTGCGAACTGGGCACGGGTAACTTGTTTTAAAATACAGCAAATCTATCTTCTCTGCGAACTGGGCACGAGTAACTTGTTTTAAAACACAGCAAATCTATCTTCTCTACGAACGGGGCCCGAGTAACTTGTTTTAAAATACAGCAAATCTATCTTCTCTGCAAACTGGGCACGAGTTACTTGTTTTAAAATACCTTTCCCAAGTGACAGAAAATCTAGAAACCCTCTTTGTAACTATAGGTAGTCTAGGAAACTCTACTTCTATAGGAGTAATATACCGCCTTCCAAGTGGCAATGCTGAGCAAGCTCTCCAAGAATTGTCGTCAATACTTGATAAAGCACCAAAACATACACACATTGCAGGTGATTTTAACATTAATCTCCATAGTAACCACAGTAGCATTATTGCACAGTATGAAGATGTCCTATTTAGTAGAGGCTTCTTCCATTGATATCATTAGCAACTCATGAAAAGCCTGGATGTAATGCCTCGTGCATCGACAACATCATTACAAATGACCTAGACTCTGTTACTGCCTCTGGAGTCATAACTGATCACATATCTCATCACCTACCTATATTTACAATATTTGACTGGGAAATTAGAAAGACCAAAAATATTCACAAGCACACTCAATACTATGACTATTGTAAATCAAACACTGATAAATTTGCTGAAGTCTTGGGTAACAAACTAGACAATGAACCAATTATAGATTTTACTAACTTTCATGATATCTTTAAAAACAGCATTGACGAAACCTGCAAACTAGCTGTACCCAAAACCACTAAGCGCACTATGCAGAACAACCCATGGATTACTGGCGGGATTATAGCCTCAGTAAACCACTGCCATGGGCTGTATGATGACTGGGCGAAAGTCAGGAAAGTTAAGTGTAAACAAGGCGAAACTGACACAAAAGGGGGCACATGCGTGTGTTCTATCTGCTGTAATAAAAGAAACCGTTATGATGACTACAAAGAATATAGAAAGGCTCTAAAAAAGGTTCGTAAAAAAGCTGTATCTGAATATTATTCTGACAAGTTTCTTGAAACTCAGGGAAATTCCAAGAAAACCTGGGAACTGATAAATAAAATTCGTGGCAAACAGAAACGTGATATCAGACCTATATTTACCATAGACAATGAAAAGATAACTGATCGCAGAGTTATAGCTAATGAATTCAATAAGTATTTTGTATCCCTAGCATCTAACCTTAATGCAGCCTACACAGAACTAGGAGAGATACAAATAAATCAGCTTCCAAGTTTCTGTGACTCCTTACCTAAATCGAATACAGCTAATATATATCTACATGACTGCTCACCTGAGGAGGTGGCTAAGATCATATCGGAACTTAAGAATGGCAAGGCTAGCGACATACCAGTACATATAGTAAAGGCAGTATCAGGCAAAATTAGCCCACTACTATCGGTATTGTACAACGAATGTATGCAACAGGGATTTTTTCCAGACGACCTAAAAGTAGGTAAAATAAGTCCAATATATAAGAAAGAAAATGCTGAGCTTCTTGAAAATTACAGGCCTATCTCAACCTTAGCAATATTCGGTAAAATACTTGAAAAAATCATATTCTCCAGGCTTTACAGTTTCTTTCAGTCGCAAGGATTATTATATGAAAATCAATATGGCTTCAGAAAAAATCATTCGACAAGCCATGCACTCAACTTTTCTGTCGACTACATTGAAAAATCTTTAAGAGATAAAAATCACGTACTAGGCATCTTCATTGATTTAAGTAAAGCTTTTGACACAATCTGTCATGATAAACTGCTTAAAAAACTGAATGATTATGGAATTCGAGGGACTGCAAATAAATTGATAGCCAGTTACCTTTCTAATAGACAGCAATATGTTTCAGTACTTGGAGAAGAATCCGAAAAACTGTCTGTAATATTTGGTGTTCCTCAGGGGTCAGTATTAGGTCCCTTGCTTTTCATTATCTACATCAATGAAATATATAGAGTATCAGACCTAGGTAAGTTTATACTTTTTGCCGATGACACCAACATATTTGTTGTAGATAAATGTATAAAAACACTTTACTGCAAAGCTAATAAAATTCTTAAACTTGTTCATCAGTATATGAAGAGTAACTTGCTGCATATCAACATAAAGAAATGTTGCTATATCCACTTTAAGCCGAACTGTAGAAATGAACCAGATTCAAACACCAATGAATTAGAACTGACACTAAATAATATAGTAATTAAAAAGGTGGAGGAAACTAAGTTTCTTGGAGTCATTATTGACCAAAAACTGAACTGGGATGCTCACTTAAGAGCGTTAAACCGTAAATTGAAATGTGAGATAGGTAGACTATGTGGAATTAGACGCTGTGTACCTAAAAAACTATATAAGGACCTGTACCACACCCTTTTTGAATCACACCTATGTTATGGAATATCTGTTTGGGGAGGTGTATCAAATAATAAACTAGAAGCCATATTTAAAACACAAAAGAAATGCATAAGAATTCTCTTTGGTGATAATGATGCATACTTCAATAAGTTCAAAACATGTGCCAGAGTAAGGCCTATCACTAGGGATAAGACCGGTAAAGTTATCAAGCAGATGTTAGGCAAAGATTTCTTTGAACTAGAACACAGTAAACCAATCTGTAACGAGTATAACTTCCTGACTGTCCACAATCTTCATAAGTTGCACTGTTTACTGGAAATGTTCAAAATTAATAAGTTCCAATCACCAATCTCAATGTTCTCTTTATTCAACAGGTCACCAAGACGAGACAACTACTTCATCCCACCCACTCCATCCTCACTATTCATCTATCAATCAACTAGTATTTGGAATCACTGCCGTAAGTCAACAAGTGAAATAGACTTCTCCACTCCCATCAGTATATTCAAGAATAATCTTAAGAAATCTTTGTTAGAACTACAGTCTAAATATGACCGACAACTTTGGTGCAGTTACAACTTTGATGCAAATGAATTATCATTGAAATAGGTTGATTTAGTAAACATAATCACATGAGTAAACCACGGTGTTATTGCAAAAAACCATGACAATTAGGGTATCAGACCTATATTAATCTAAGAGACGACACAAAACGAATCATCATACAACAAATTTTAAAATCCTGCGGCACAGGATCTTGTTGTTTTCCTACTCTACCTCTCCCAAACCCCTCTCTCCTTCTCCTCTCTTCAGGTTTATTCTTCAATTTTTTTAAAATTAGATAGCAGATGTATTTTCTTTTAAATGAAGTAATGGCATTATACATTGATTGGTATCGTATGTTTGTTGTGTATAGTGTTTGCTAACTGGGTATGTGCTATATATTTTGAGGCTCACGACGTATCGTCCCATGGGTGGAGTTGTAGGCTGAGTATGTGTTCAAATCTCCTTACTTCGTATGGTGAAACATTGACAGGTTTGCCTTAGCCTTTGTGACGAGTGTTTGCCCACCGGGGATCCAAAAATATGATTATCATGGACATTACTTTGACACATAAACTAATCAAACGAATTTAATGATTCCAGAAAATTTTACTAACTGCATTTAGCTAGTTTATAGTAAATACACACGATCGCAGAATAGAGGAGCACAATTGGGTTCTTTGTTCTGCGACTGTGTTTCCTCGGTGGGCCGACAGGTTTTTGTTGTGTAGTAGTGCTGGGGAAAAAAAAAAAAAAAAAAAAAACGCTTTAACTATCAATGAGAGTAAACATTTTTAATTCTTGACCTTAGTGCCACAGTTTCTGTGGTAAAAACAAATTTATAGTTAAACGTTATATATAATGTAGAAGGGCATGATTTACTCACATCACTAAGCATCTGGATGGATAATTAGCACACAAGGATAAACTGACCTTTAAACATGACCACCAACTATACCACGTAACCATAGCTCCGAAATAAATAAATTGCTCTACATAGAAACATCTGGCCTGATCCTATCACATTGTGGTCCCCAGGGGTTCGGTAAAGCCCTTACAGGCAACTGGGTCCTTTTACCAGCCACAATAAAATTGGTCATGCCAGTACTGTCATAAACTGTAACCAACTATTTAAAAATTAGACATCTTTAGCTAAATTTTAAATTTTAAGTCATAGAGCAATCTTCTTAATTTTAAAATTTTTAAGAATTATATTTTACCCTAACTATGATGTGGTGGCATTTCATACTTAACTAAATTTCAACTTTGAAAGTAAATAGATTATTAGTGACAACAAATTATAGTTTAAGACATCCATTCTGCATTGTGTTTCCAATATTAGAATTTATGATATGTATTGATTGAATAATTGGTAATAAATTTAACTTTTGTTTTATTAACTTTTGTTTTATTAATACAGCAAATCTATCTTCTCTGCGAACTGGGCACGAGTAACTTGTTTTAAAATACAGCAAATCTATCTTCTCAGCGAACTGGGCCCGAGTTACTTGTTTTGAAATACAGCAAATCTATCTTCTCTGCGAACTGGGCACGAGAAACTTGTTTTAAAATACAGCAAATCTATCTTCTCAGCGAACTGGGCCCGAGTTACTTGTTTTGAAATACAGCAAATCTATATTCTCTGCAAACTGGGCACGAGTCACTTGTTTTAAAATACAGCATATCTATCTTCTCTGCGAACTGGGCCCGAGTTACTTGTTTTGAAATACAGCAAATCTATATTCTCTGCAATCTGGGCACGAGTCACTTGTTTTAAAATACAGCATATCTATCTTCTCTGCGAACTGGGCACGGGTAACTTGTTTTGAAATACAGCAAATCTATCTTCTCTGCAAACTGGGCACGAGTCATTTATTTTAAAATACAGCATATCTAGCTTCTCTGCGAACTGGGCACGGGTAACTTGTTTTAAAATACAGCAAATCTATCTTCTCTGCGAACTGGGCACGAGTAACTTGTTTTAAAATACAGCATATCTATCTTCTCTGCGAACTGGGCACGAGTAACTTGTTTTAAAATACAGCAAATCTATCTTCTCTGCGAACTGGGCACGAGTTACTTGTTTTAAAATACAGCAAATCTATCTTCTCTGAGAACTGGGCACGAGTATGTATGTATGTATGTATGTATGTATTTTGACACGGGGCAGCGCTAGACCCCATGTAGTGCCCTCAACCTACTTTTAGATTTGAAGGTCATAAAGGCGACAACAATGCCAAGAGGACAGCGCAAGCCGGTGAGCTGTACACTGGGCACGTGCGCGTAATAATAGAGCTCAAACAGGTAATAGACCCCGCGAGCATATAGAATCAGGATTTTACAGAATGTGGGCAGCCGGCCCTGTGAAGGTGATGGATGCGTGCAAATCTGAGGGCTTGAAGCGAGTGTATTGTGGTGCTAGCGTACTCTGATAAGTGAAGTAGCCCGAACCAGGTAGCTCACCTGCTCCGCATCGCGGGGGGCCGCTCCAGTTTACAGATGTACATGGGGAGATATGTCGACGCTCGTGAGTGAATGGGGAATAGCTGATTTGTGCAAAGGTGATGTGTGGGTTATGATGGTGCTGTTACTTTATAAGTTCTAAGCTTGTAGAATGTGTTGCAAAAACCATCCTAATTGAGGTTTATTGGTTAGCGTATGTAGTGAACTAGTGGGGACGATGAAAGAACTTACGACAAAGTTAACTGCTGAATGTTCCCGGTCAAAAATTAATTATAGTTTATATTAAAATATTGTCTAACTCTATGTTTTACTATAATGCTGGGAGCCTTGTTGTAAAAAATAGGGTACATACCATTACTTGAAAGTCGTTATTTCGGAGTGAGCAACCATTTTGTTGACTAGCGAATCTAAATTGAAATAGTCGAATATCACTCAGTTTCAGTTGCAGGTCGACATCCTTAAAATTAGAGAGCAAATAATTTCATTTTGTACTCGACTTAAGTCAATATAAATAGAAATTACAGCAATTTGAAGTAACAGCATATCAAGCTATATCATACATATTACATAATTATGAAAGCCTCGCAAAGATCTCGATTAAATCTGTAAACGTACATTTAACGGTAAGATATGTAGATAGCGCGCAATAGTTGCGCACGCACAAAACCAATATGGCTGCCACACAAAGCAACAAACTGTAACAAAAATGAAAATTGTGAATTCAACCAGCTTATTCACTATTATCTAACGCGACATTGGTTTGGGCGCATTATCGACACGTTTTAAATGCGCGGAACATTTTTGTGCGCGGCACAAGCATTTTAAATTTTCAAAATTTAAATCATAGCCAGAGTTATGGTTATTTTTCAAAACAAATTTTGAGGCAAATTTTACGTGTAAATTATCCATTTTTTATTCATGATCACTCATAGTTTGAACAATTTTCCTTGGATTGAATTAAACTCTTCGATATTCGATTATTGAGACAATTATCTAAAGAACAAGATTACTTTAAAACTAAACATACGTAATTTAACTTAACATGAAGCTTGAGGAGATTTTAAAAGTGAAATTCAATCATTTTGTGCGAGGTATGAAGCCCGCGGCGTTCGCTGGGGTGGCGCGGTCTTGATCAAATAATATTTGAAACAAATATTTTATGAGTATCACCTGTCAACTTTTAACGCGATGCAATACCTAACTGCGTAACAATATCAAACGATTGCACGTGTGCGAGCAAGATTAGATTAGCAACGCGCGTTGTCTTACCTGGGGACCCCAGGCTATTCAAGAAAACAACAATTTTATTTAGTATCAATTAAAGCAGACAAAAATATATTTCATATATATATAACTAGCACGAACTTTAGATCAGATATCTTAGGGGACTTGGAGTAGCAAGAGATTGACTAGAAGGTATATACAATATACCTTTTACAAAGATATGTCGAGAAGAATCCAGGGTGATACAGGATCGGAGAGTGCAGACCAAAAGTTTACGCACCCACCTTTGCCTCCTGAGTTCTTGGGTGGATAGAAATTAATGCAAACTTGGTCGTTTATACTCCAAGTCCCTTTCTTAAAAGAAATAGTATTAACTATGTCTAGAGTGTAGAGTTAGCCTCGTTCAATAATATCAATATCAATATCAAATATATATATAATCAATATCAATACCAGATAAACCTACCGAATATTATGTTCATATAATAAACAAAGCTTGGTGTAATTAAACCCTCTCAAACGCGCTAGTAGGCGCGTTTATGCGAATTTACAATCAAATAATTGATAATCAGATTTTACAATCTTACTCAGCGCGCGGCTCTTGTAGCGCAAACGTCGAGCGTACTAAATCACTCTACATGCTACAGTCGATTTTTGAGATTGTTCTAAAAGGGCCCCTGACAGTTGAAACCAACTTCAATTGATGTATTTTCGGACGCTGATTCCGAATCACCCCCATGACATAGGGTTAAAATGCTCCCCTGACGAGATATAGGCGAAAAACTGTCTCGATCACGTGATATGACCGTATAAGGAAGTTAGTCTAATTTCTTGTTAGGGTTAGGGTTTCAGCATATGCTTTTGTTAAGGATTGGGTAAGGGTTAGGGTTGGGATCAGATAAGAGGGTTAGGGTTTTAAATAGTCGTTCAGGACCAGCTAGAGAACGGGTTGAAAAAGTCACGTGACAGTCGAGTGTAGAGTGATTAATTATCACCCTGCAAACGTCACTTCTTTCAAATTGGTAGTTGGCATTCACATAATCTTTTGCGTGGCTGTAATTGTTTCTCAACGATTACGCGAATGCTAGTCACGTGCGCTCTTACATCCAATGAGCATTTGCACTTTTTCAGAGCGATGGAGGTCGTAATTCACTCAGCCCAAATAAAGATTTGGCGGAATGACAGGCTGATCAGCGCCGCCCAGTAATCCTAAATATTCTTACAAAAATGTATACATTAAATTTTTTTTAAATATACTAGGAAAGAAAAATTTTTTTAGGAAAGAAAAATTTTTATTTACCACAAAACAATCAATATATAATGTTATATTCATAAATAAATTCAAATTTCAATTTCAAACACATATACAGTATGCCGCGCACATAGCCACAATTTTCAATTGTTCAGAAATTCGTAGGTCAGCTGTAGGCGCCGCGCACAGGATCTATTTAATTGTTATCTATATCTTATAATTACATGTCGCATTTCTTAATTACTAGAGCCAAAATTTCAGAAGCAAAATAATTTAAAACATATTTCTGTCGTTCACGCAGTACAGGCCGTGAGCACTGCGATCTAATTAATAGATCGAATAATAATAATGGAGAAATTCCAAAAACCGCGCGCTCGTTATTTGTGATTAAATCGAGTGCGCGCCTCTGTGAACAGCAGTACCGCTCAAGTATGAAGTACTAAGCGGTACGCAGTTCTGCGTGAGGCGTAGACATTTGTAGCACACGTTTCATTCAACTAATCAATTATCTGACATGTAATTATATTAAAGCAAAAAATTTATAATCTAGCTAGTTACCAATAATATAATACTATTTGTTCGTATTGGTTATATATGTTTACACTAGCCTATATTATGATGGAGATATACATTATATAATTGCTCCAATATTCAACACTGCTAAACAACAAATACCTACTCGCCCATCGATGAAGCAGTCGCCAAAACAAAGCTCAAAGTTAATATACCTTCGTACTTCGTTTTGGAAACTGTAGAATGCCAGTAAATAATTAGTGTTTCAATAGTGTATTCGATGGGCAAGCACTCGCCACTCGAGGCCGAGACAAACGGCACCGGCTCCGCCCTGCAACCATGAAGTAATGTAAGCAGTAAGGCGGGGCGGTGGTGTGCGCCGTTTATACGGCCCACAGCACGAGACATTTTGAGCTCCAAGACTTAAGACTATAAAAGTCCCGAGTTAAACGTAGCGACTTACCATCGTCAGCCGTCAAAAATTTAGAATTTGTATGTTATAAACTCTACATCTGATATCAGTATAACATGTAATTTAGTTTGTTATTGGCTAAATTTTTAACTCGATTAAGCGATGCAGACGGATGAACTAGGCTCCTCCTCCGTCAAAAACACAATGAGAGGGGATTGTGGAAGGACACGAACACTATTCGTTAACTCGTACCCCGGGTACCCCCTAGAACTATGTCCCATCAGAGAGAGCCCATCACCCGTCAGATCGAAAACAGTGTTTTAATTTTGATATATGCTGTACCAATTACAATAAATGGTAAGTCAAAGCTGACGTTGGTAGCAAAATATAAAGTGACACGTTACAACAAAATAAGCACTACACACTACACACTATACGCTATAACTATTGTACACAGTACACAGTATAACTAAAATATAAAATATAAACAAGTTACAAGAGACAAAAGAGTTTACAGAAGAGTTTTACATCGGCTCAGCACCGCCAGGACATTGGCTATACACGTGGGTCAATTAGTTTGATTTGGCATGGTTCGACCGGGAAAGTGGTCGAAATTAGTGCTCACTGAGTCATCACTGTCGTCTGAATATTAGAGCGGGAACTTCCCAAGTTTCGGCCGACAACGCGCGCGCACAGCATCGGCGCGCAATGCTATGCGCGCGCGTTTTCATATTGCTGTGTCATTCGGCGGTTGCGCTCAGCGTAACTTGGAAATGAGTTGTATGTTGTTTACCTAAATTCAAGCATGGTAATCATAGATAAGCTTGTCAGTCAGTAAGTGCTTAAGTGGGAATAACAGGCAAATAAATATCACTTCTTAATCAGAATTCAGTGACATTTTTGTCACACCACTCAGTTCCATACCGGTTTTGAGCTCTTAGAAGTGACTGTTTAAGTAAATTCTTGATAGATCTGCATGTGGAGGTGAAATTTAACGGGCCAACTTTACGGAATTCATTCCACAGCCATGCAGATTTATAAATAAATTGATTAGTTGGAGAGGGTGTAATGAACAGATTATCTTTCCTATTTGATATGTTGAATAAGTAGTATAACGAAATTGGTACTCGTGACTTAATGATCTTAAAAAGTTCCATTAAACAACGGTATCTGTACAGGTTCTCTGTAACAAGTAATTCATGTTTTGTGAATAGGGGCTTAGTGGACTCTTTAACATAGAATTCAGATCCTAGACGTTGAGAATTAATTGGTCTTGCTCTAGCACATGTCTTGAACTTGTCTACATAAGCTTCATAGTCTCCAAATAGAATCCTGATACACTTCTTTTGAGTAATAAATAGCGGTTTTAACTGATTATTGGGAATACCTCCCCAGACAGAAATAGCATAACCTAGGTGTGATTCAAAGAGGGAATGATATATTTGCTTATATAGTGATTCTGGTAAGCATTTCTTAATACGGTAGATACGTCCACAAGCACTTCTTAGTTTCTTGTTGAGGGATGATATATGTGGTTTCCAGCTCAATTTATCATCCATGATTACTCCAAGAAATTTTGTCTGACTTACACGTTTAATTATTTTGTTATTAATGGACAAGTTTTGGCTATCTATATCGGCATCTAATTCGTTATTATTACGTTTAGAGGGAGAAAAATACATGTAACAACACTTCTTTACATTAATGTGCAGTAGGTTAACTCCCATATACTTGTTTACGGCCTGTAGTACTTCATTAGCTAATTTCTCGAATCGGCAGCTAACATTTACTAACATCTACTAAGACCCATTTAAAAGGTAGCTAGTAGTTGTGCTCTCGACTACTTATATTTACTGCCTGAAACTGCAAATTTAGACTGGAACTGTTCATTCCAAACAAACAATCCCCCATATAATAATCTGCCACCATTAAATCGAGGATTTCCAGTCGAAAGCTGTATTTAGTAGAGGCTCTTACGGGCATTGTCTGCTCGATACGCCAGGGACCCCAGATACACCTTACCAGACGTATTTTTGACCGTAGAATCGATTAAAAGTAGTTTCAAGATGATTGGACTGATTTTTCTGGGTTAAAATTGCAAAAAACCGATTTTTGGGCCAAAAATAGGCCAAAAAACCATGTTTTTTGATATTTTGAGCAAGTTAATTTTGTTGGCATGTCGGCAAAACTTGCATGGAGATAGCTGAAAGACAGCCGCACAAGATAGTATAAAAATAAAACAAATCCCTCTATTTTTTCTGGGGTAAAAATCCAAAAAAGTGGTAAAAATTTTGACTTTTTTGCTTGAAGTTTGAATAATTTTTTGCAGTTGTATCAAATCAACCCAAAAATAGTTTCATCGTGTTTGCCTAAATTTTTCCTTTCCGAGAAGTACCCACTTCATATACTTTATCGAAGTTTGAATATTGTCACTCCGCAAAAGCATTTAGTTGTTATCAATTGGCACCCGCGCGTTCATCATAAATTTCAAACAGCTATAACTCAGCGAGATTATGTCCGTTCTAGCTCATATTTTCACACCAAATAGAAAATAATGTGATCTTATTGCTGACAAAATATGAATATAATTACTCTATTTGCCTTAGAGTAATAGACTGTCAAAGTTTAAAACGCGCATTAGAATAGCATGTGACTAATAAGGCCAAATTTATACTTCTTAACATATTATCGATCCTTAGACATCATACTATTGTGTCCAATTAGCGGTTAGGTCTCTAAACTCGTAGCAGAAAACACGTCTTTTTGCCCGTAAGAGCCTCTACTAATTATGGAAGAGTATCGCGCGACCTGGTGTCGAATTTAGCGTCATGATGTGTTGGCAGAGTCGAACTTGAGATTTCATATCATGAGATCTCTTATTTAATTATATAATTATATTATGCTACTGTACATTCTTCTAGCTATTACCAGAGAATGATATATGATACATGCTTGATTATTGATTAACATTTTTTACAACCAAAGTCCAAATAGATCTGCAAAAATACCTAGTTTCAGGCAGAATAGAATATAATAAAATTTTACCGAGCAATACATAATTGAAATCTAATATACAATTTAATAATCCACTTATGCTGTGACGGATTAAATAAACCAAAAATGGATTCTGTTGGCATAAAACTAAAACTGTTATAAAAACTAAACTATGCAGAGATTTCGAAAATTCAGAGAGTAGTATAACATGCTCATTGCATTTTATTTGATTATAGAGGAAATTATGAGGACCCGTCCTTCCATAGTTCAGTAGACGTAAACTTCTGCATGTGCTTACCATTAGTACTCACAATCTGATATAGTAAACCTTTCTTACTTTAGTCAGAAGGTTAAACATTAATAACTAGAAAAAGGTGGGATCTTTTTGTATGTATTTGAGTAATTTTTGTTTCATTTAATGGGTGATTTGAGATAACTGACTGGATTAACCTAGTCGTAATTTTGTAAAATTCATGTCCATGCCATGTACATTATCTATAATACATGTCATATCTTTAGGTCCAACTTATAATATTTCAGGATACTGGAGAGGAGGTAAACCATATTTGCTATGAGTCATAGCAAATATGGTTTACCTCCTCTATATGCTATCATGTGTCATAGTCTATGACACATGATAGCATATTTGGGTTTTGATTGGTAAATGGGCACAGCATAACATATTAACATAATAAAGTATATACTCATTAATAAAACGATTATTTTTATTATAATTCTAAGACTTTATCAAACAATTTCATTCAGCAATGACAGATGAACAGTTCAACAGTACCTGACAACAGAGATGTTTTTGACATCAAAGAAAAGATTTGTAATGGCTCGTTTGGAAGCACAATATTTAAAGCCTATAATGCTGCCCTAGGTCAAGTTGCTATTGCAAAGAAGTATCCAGCTAATCTCACCAACGATTATGAGGTAACATTTTATCAGTTTAACATGTTTATAGAATTTCAACAATAAATCTCAATTAAGTACATTACTATCTGGATACTTATTTTACTTTGGTTTTCTCCAAACAGCCATATGGTTACATTGTAATCGGCCAATTACAGGAGTCGAAGGTACCATTACAATTAAGCCAGCGACGGTTAAAGAAGTGTATTTCATACTTAACAATAACATAATCAGTTTAACCAGAATCGACTTTTATGATATGTTTAATTTTGACCATGTATTTAAATTGGTAATGACACCTTTTAGCTTTCTAAGACAAGGGACAGTGATTTGCTGCATCTCTTTTACCAGTGTTTTTCGTCAGATTAAATGAAATTATCAGAACTGACGTGCCATGAAAGATGATGTGTAAAATCTATGAGTGCAAGTGGAACATATTAACAAAATTGCGGAATTGTAGTGCATGATAAAATTATCTTAAGCTATGATATACAAAAAACGGATCTTACTGCTGAATAAAAGTATGCTTGTTTTGGTGAGAATCTTCAAATGAAAAAAAAAACAAAACTGAAAAACAAACGTTTCAGGGTTTTATGGCCACATTGGACCAAGTCCGGGAGTGTCGTTCACCCCACGTGGTGACCCTCTATGGCTACTACAAGGCTGTCAAGTACTTCTGGGTTGTCATGGAGTTTTGCCACGGTTTCAGTGTTCACAATCTCATGGCACAACTGAACCGGCCGCTCAAAGAGAGTCAGATTCGGACTGTGGTCAGTCACACTCTGAGAGGTAGGTGGTTGCCGTGGTTACCAGAATTGTGGGGGGGGGGGGGGGGGCTTATAATTATTTATTTACCAGATTACTGCAATATTTGTTGTAAAGTTAGTTTCATCCTGCTAGTTCTGCTTGCTATGTAGTTGGGTGACTAAGCTGTTAAGGTGGTACATCTAGATTAGTAAAGAAAGTTAGCTTTTAGATGTATCAATATAGATTGACCAAGATACATATAACATAGAGTGGGATTGATTTTATTACGTTATCACCCTCCATTCTCTAAATTTAATTCGATCTTGTTCTCAGATTATGATTAACAAAATTTCACTGCAGAAATCCACTTTCTTCAATCTCCATTTATCACAAACTGAGACAACCTCATTAACTGATGATTCAATAGAATTCGTGTTCTCTAGAGAATCACTCAGAAGTTAACATCAGGACTCATATATAACTCATATATATAACATGTATAATATGTCTCACTGTATAATATGTCTCACAGTATCCAGGAGTACCCCCTCTTCCCCCCTATCACTGTCGCTTATACCATTAAACAATGAACATAAATGAATAAATAAGTAAATACCGGTATTCATATCACGCTTTGACAATAAAAACATACCACAGAAGTATATATTCAAGCCATCCAAGCGTGATTTAGTATGAAAAAAAACAGTATCATAAACCGGTTACTTGTATCCATCCCAAATGTACGCGGCAAAGTTATGCTGCAGTCGTGTGTCATCATGGTAGAAAACAAAAGGAATTTCCGGCCAATTGTCAGTGTTTATCATGCGGTGTACTATGTATACAGTATAGTGTACACCAACAAATAGTTCTATGTGTAAACACTCAGAGAAGATGTTTTGTTTGTTTAACTTCAGAACGTCATGTATTTAACACATATTTAACTTCGGTCATCTGCGATAATGGCTGGTATTTTTTAATGACTGTTTAATATTATTTAAAGCTTTTACTTTAAAGCTTTACTAGACACGGTATAATCTTTACTCTAGATGAAATATCAATGAATGTTCGTTTTTAAAGAAAACTATTTAGCGTATATTATCCTCACATTAACTTATGTTTTGTGGTATGCACTCTGCATTCCTCCATGCACAAGCTTTGCTGCTAGCCGAGAAAGTTCAATGGGTGTCCTTCAAAAGTGTCGTTTTAAGATATGCAGTGATGTCTGAGTTAACCACTAACGATAAGGATTTACTCGGTACAATTAGAGTCCAATTAGAATTGCTAGACATAAATAGCAGCAAATAGACATTGTTCAACTTTTGCGTTGAAATTGCTTTACTTGCTACGGACTACGGAGTAGACGCTTATTCTGACTCACCTCAAATCTATGATATTAACAACGTGACACATAGATCTCTGTTTTCTTAATCTACACAGCACTAAATTACTGGGTTTTAGACTAAAGATAGATTCACAAAATGGGTAAATAACTGCGGATAAGGCTTGTTCATGGTTTGTCTATATATATAATAGACCGAGCCGATCCATATTACTCAAACACAATATTGACCCGTGTTAAATGTTAATGGCTTGAAATCCACACTTTTTGAAGCCGCACATCGCCAAATTATCGGTTTTTATGCTAAAGATAAATTAAAGATCAGCCAAGAGTACACAGCCAGTGAACCAGTGAGCCACTCCTATTTTACCCTGAGCCACTCCTACACAACAGATGATAATGATGATGCTTACTAATACCCCCTCCCCAGGTCTGGAAGCACTGCACGCGTGCAGTATCGTGCACACGCGCATCAGAGCAAGTAACATCCTGGTAACAACGTTTGGTGTGTGTAAGCTAGCTGAACCCAGTCCTCAAGTCAACATCTCAGATACTGGTGTCAATGTCGATGGAGTGGTGGGTAACGCTTACTGGTCCGCTCCTGAGATACTGCTCCAGGTAAATAACTTAATGAGTACTATAAATAATTTACTTTACTTACTACGGATACTTTTGTTACTTATATTACACTTATGACTACCTTGCTTACTGGACTTACTACATGTAACACAATTACCCACTACACTTTTGAACTGGTACATTAAATATTTCTAAAAGAAGAGAGTGATATAGTTTCCATACTTTTGAGCATAGTTCTAACCGATCGAAAGTCAGGATACTTGCGCGATTAAAGTGTTTCGTGCGATTTCCCGAATATGACCCTTTTTCCGTCCTCAAACCAATCTGCTCCTACGGTTTTATTGCAATGACTATGAAACATGGCTCGCACTTGAACTATATACTAGGCATTATTTTAAGATTCCTGTCAATACAAGCTAAAATCTTGATATAGGTCATAGCCAAAGCTAATATGCTGACAAATATTGTATCAGTTGTGAATGAACATCAGGGAAAGTTTAAATTTTCAGCATCTTTCTTGACGTTTCTCGACCATATTCAATGATAAAGTATGACTGGGTAACTACACATCGCACAAACACCCTGCTTTACTTTTTGTAGCTGTATAAAATGTGGTGACTGGAGGACGATGAATATTATTAACACCTGGAGAGAGAGAAAGATAAAAAGTGTAAAATAGTAGATGTGTTAGGTGATGTGTTAGGACTTTAAGAACAAGCTAGAATAACAGTAAAAACGTGCACATTGTACGTAGAGAGTGTGAGAGTACTGTACTTGTGAAATATTTGAACCATTACGTGTCGACAGTACTTGCTGTTCAAGTGACTGCGACCACTGTGGTATAGTAACCACTGCTGTGTATGTGAGAGAGAACCTTGTGTGGAGGAGTATGAGGGTGTGTTGAAACAACTAGAGGAGATTTAATTGATTACCTTATGTTAAATTAGACATCATCTGTCAAATGATATCATGTCATCTGCTAGAAGTTGCTGCCTTACTTTAATTAAGTGTTTTTTATTAAGTAATGCACAAACATGGACTGTTAAGGAATGTGAACTCTAGTCCTGGTTTCACTACAGTTACCTACTTTCTTGTTCTTGAGTCTAGATTTTAATAGACAGATTTGTGTCTACTATTTACTGTATAGTAATTACCTTGTCGATAACTGAATACCTTGATGTACTAGCTTCTACCTTGATGAATTACAACCGACCCGAGATTATAATGGTTTACGGTTTATTAGACTTAAAATCAGGTACTTAATGATAATATGACATAATAATATGATAGAAGATGTAATTTTAATTGATCAGGTGGCGTTTATCAAGTAGTACACTAAACTGTACCGTGAACAGTGTCTCTAGTTCCAGTCACCACCTACTTCTAGTTTTGTTCCTGTGCATACTGTAAATACCTCCATGTACTAGTTTCTACCTTGAGATATGCAGGTATAACCTACCAACTTGAGCCTGCGCAGAAACATGATATTGCCCAGTTTCGCAGGTTGGATTACACTACATAACCCACGTGACATGGCCGGTGGCACCTGATTGGTTACCAGCCACCCAGTCTTAGATTGGATTGGTAAGGGGTCATTAGCTGATACCTTCTTACAGCACAACACGGTGCTTTTGTAGAGAGAGTATTATGTATGTTGAATATATAATGTACCTCTGTGGTATATTATACACACCTGTATATATAGCACTCTATTAGAAGGCATGCGGTGTGTACAATGTACTCTGAGAGGAGAGGAGGAGATCTCCTTATCAATAACAATGAATAACAATGAATAATGAGGATCCTTATCTTATGAATAGTGAATATACAGTGCAGGTATGTGACGACGTGAACTATGAGAGTATGAGAGAGATCGAGATGTAATTTATGCAGTATGAGGCGATTAGAGAAATAATGTTAAATGTAAGAATGGAAAGTTATCCCATTGTACTCATTCTCATTCTGCTGACTTTCCCGCGGAATTACTCGGGCAGATTACCCGCTAATTTTACTTAATAATCTCTGCTACATATCATGACAGGGCCCTTATACTAATGTATGGGAACAGCAGTGCGCGTTATATTATATTAATTAAGTTAACTTACACTATAATAATCACACGAGGACACAACAATTGACACATTGATCGCTAGAAAGCAGCGGGCCAGTATTTGTCAGATATGACATTATGTTACCGCCAAGTCTATGACAATTGACAAAATGGGATCCAGCAGTCAGTGTAGCAGCTCCATTACTCACTACACCACCTCGTACTGCACGGGACCTTCCTTTGTTGTCTACGTAGGTAAACATAACACGTCACATATCGTCACAACTCACACTATTTTAAGTTAAAATAGGGCATTATAAATGGCGTTGTGTTCCGTGTTGTGGTATCAAGAGGTACGTATCACATAGGATTGTGCTCTGATCATAACACAGGACTGTGCCTTCAGATCAAACTATTTATATAACAATCTATAAGATACGGGCTCCCACACACTGGCACACATAAACCGTAATATTTGTAAAAGCGAAAGGTACAAAGTGTGAGCTTGTGTGTAGTGTGTTAAGCTAATTATGTTATAATAAACTCATTATGTTACATAGAATGTGAAGAATGTTGTGATCCTTGTTCTTGAGTTCTTTGTAGTCTCCGGACCACCTCACCAGACTGGATCACAGCCAGACCACTGTGCAGCTCAATGTAACTTGTGTTATTATTACATCAGCAGCAGCAGCAGGGCCGCGTCCGGCGTCCGTCATTACAGTGGTCTCTTCTTCTCAGCCAGTACTGGGACCAGACAAAGGCTTGTTTAGAATGTGATTAACTTTATTTAGGGCTCTGGAGATGTGGATTTGTTTATCACCATGGGGGCTGCGGTGGGAGGAGGTGTAACGCAAATATGTCCGGTATTCATTCCGTTATTCCGTAGAACCACCGTGGTAAGATACACTGTACTCATGAACAATGTGGAGGGGCTACTCCTCTTTAAGGGGGCCGTGTATACACGAACTTGAATAGCCGTTAATACATTGTACATTGCTGTAATAACACACACAATTCATGACTCATCATCGGGCTATGGTCTGCCATTAACCCATCCTTATGTCTCTGCTAGTTAACTGCACTACGTAAAGTATTTATTACATTGTTCTGACTGCTTGTATCAGAAGCCGCCGCGTGCCCGTGATTACTGGAAAATATTACCATATTTTAGGGGGAAACTACGTCATGATCACGAATTGCACTATTTTTTAGATGTAAGAGACACTGCGATATATGTCATGCTGTGAATAATGACATAATGTATCGAATTTTATGGCAACTTGTCTCTTTGACCTATCCCAAAACAAACAGCAGTTAAAAAATGTACATAATGTAAATTAAAGTTTTTAAACATATTATTGTTATGGAATGTTTTGTAAGTTTCATTTATTTCAAATTCCAAACTCCTTACTCTACACCATTCTCATTGCGTAAATGAAATTTGAATTTAACCCCCTACAGAATAAATTTCAGAAAGGGTACAGATCAGCGTCAGACATCTGGTCACTGGGTATCACAGTGATAGAGCTGGCGGAGCGTCAGCCTCCCTACGCAGAAACCCACCCCTCACGTGTCATGGTCACCATTCCTGCCCGTCCTCCTCCCGAGTTCCTCAACCCTGACGCCTGGTCCAAGTATCTTAAGGTAGGCAACTTATTTAATATTATAGTGGTCGACAGCCAGCACGCTGAGTGTTTTGAAACTGTCAAATAGTGTCATATTACAGCACATCTTCTTCAGCGCATTTAGGTCCACCAAATGTGCAATAATAGGACAGATATGGCTCTGTGAGTGGTCATTGGTCGATATCACGTGATCATTGGTCATGGTCACGTGTTAAGGTATTGTGGCAGGTATGAGCAGCTTTCTAGGCTTTTTAAGGTATAAACTAACTTCATCCTCTCGGTCCCCTATCTTGTAGACTCACACGTCAGTACAGGGGGGATATGCAATTTGTCAGATCTAATATTCTACGTAAAACTGATCGTTTGTCTCTTCTATTTTAGTCACCTCTAACAGTGTACGTCACAATGTGTTGATGTAACAAATACCTGAAATGCCTGCTTTTCAGGTATTTCTGTCGTGTTGCTTGCAGAAACACCCAGGAGACAGGTTAAGTGCCACTCAGTTGTTACAACAGAAGATGATTAAGAAGTGAGTAATAGTAATGTCAAGAAAGTGTATTTGATTAAGATAGCAGTCTATCTTTATTACAGACCTTAGTTGTTTTTTTCTAGCTGCTTAACGGTTGGATTTAAAGTGATATTACGGAATTGGAATAAGGCTGTTATCTTTATAAAACCGCTATAAAGCTGACTGACTAAAGCTTAGAGTCAACATACGGTGTACAAACAAGATTCCACCAAAAACTAAAACAGAAGAAAATTATGGAATGAAGTTGATATAGTAAAACAAACTATTTTCACAGTTTGTTATCCAATTTATAAATGAAACATTTGTATTTTTATGTACGTATTGCCGCCCACGTATAAATTAGACGAAAAATAGGAAGTTGCATTGTGACGAAAATGGAAACACTCATGCGCACATGCAATGATTGTTGCGCGTGCACGTGCAGTACATATTGTATGGCATTTTATTATTAGTTTCCTCCTTGTTTTACTATTAACTTCCTCCCTGTGACCCCGGGCTTTCTAGTTACATATGACCTTTTGTTGTATGTAAGTAACTGTGCAAATTTTCAAATTTTGTACCACTAGTTCAACTATATCATATTTCAGTCCACACTCTTCTCCTGCAATAGTTTTTGCCCTCCTTTGTCTGTATGTGGAGTCTTTTTCATTATTGTTCCTTGACTTGTAATGTCTCACTCGTAATATTTGCCTGAAATTTTTACGTTTTCGGTGGTTCTGACGAAGCTGTTGTTGCAGGAAAATCAAATATTCGACATCATTCCTTTAGGGATTATTCGTTCAACGGTAAAGCTACTAGAAGATATTATCGCCATATTCATTGCGGCTTTAAATAAACATTCTCCTAATCGTTCGAATTAATGCACTTACTTAAAATAAGACTAGTCCACCCGGCGTTGGTAAGGTGCTACAAAGACGGTCACCATATTAATATTGTCATCTCAACAGTTCTTCAATTTTAACAGGGAGACTAGCAGAATTGTGCGTTTTACTCGATATCCTTTTTTTGGGAACGGGACACTTAAAAGTGACACGACTAAATTAAAATTTATCACAGGACAGATTATAAGGGGATGCAAACCATAGTGCAGAAGTTTATAAAGATGAAACAACAGCAGAACAGCAGATTTTTCACTGAACCAACATCTGAACCACCAAAAGGTAAAGTAAGAGCGCTAAAAATACCAACGTTATTACCACTACCTGTATAATCATAATTGGTTCATACTTCATTATAGCAGTGGAAGCGCGACTCTAAAGAGAACAAAATTCCCGTCATAATTCTCGGTGTGGCAAATCAATTTCTGCCAAGTCATTAAAGACTTCATTCTTATAATATATGAATTGTAACTTATAAGTCACATTTCCATTATTCTTTTGCGTGTACCATCCCCATGCAATCATGAGTGTGACTCCTAAGTCGAATTGAAAAGTTGTATTAGGTGAACTTGCCTGCCTAGATGACTGGGCTTGATCAAATTATCCACATAAGATTATATTTGATGAGATTTTTATCGTCTTCTTGGTTTGTTTATACTCGGTCCAGGCTTGGTTCATACATTTTAACCTCTATTTTCTTTATTATATTACATAAACTCAATGCAGAAGAAACTATTCTCAGTTAATATAGTCCTTATGACCTTATATGTCAACATAGCTTTCCTAGTAGTTCACCATACTATGAACTAATGATTGCAGCCCACGGGCACGCCCGCGGCCCGATGCAATGAACATTACAGTTCGCATGGAATATGGCAATCACTATCAGTGTTCTAAGAGGCGACGTGATGTTTCCCGCAAATCGGTAAAATTCTTGTAAACCTGCCCAGTATTTATCCAGAAGTTAGTGAGATTGTCTGGACTAGATCTTGACAGTTGACATGCAAATATAGGTACACCGTACACTGGCAAGGGGATATCTATCTAATAACTCAAATTAAGTTACACGCGTGGGTTGTGGATTAGGAAGCAAAAATGAATCATAATATCTTAGTACCATGAGGATTTGCTGGATGTTAGGTATGGAATAAGACATGCGTTATATGCGATAGATAATGTGAAAAGATCTGATCTCCCCTTAATAACGATGTGATTATTACCGTAATTAATTTTAGCATGTAGACACAACAATAATAGCACTCCCTCGTTAGTACAACATGGCAGCCTCATTCATTCAACCGTGGTTTCAAATTATGTATATACTTCAGCTGTATTAATCAGCTAGCTTTATTCTGAACCCAGTGACCATAACATATCTTTAACGTGAAAAGATTAGCTCTTGGCAATCTTACAAGTCGAAAGAAAACATCTGTATTCATATGCTAGCAGAATTAATGTCTATATTGATGTAACGCGCATCACTATTCTTGTGGTATAATAAAGTTTGTCTGTCCTTACTGCAACAAATATCACGTTGCGCGCGCGAATGCGTTACGCGCGTTGATCAATTCGATCAACGTACCTGAATTTGTGAGATTTCGAGATACATATTATATATCTAATATCTATGATGAGGCACAAAAGTCAAAACAGCATACTAATCATATCTGAATATCCGTTACTTACACCGTCTATCCTCAGCTGAGCAGAGAACTGAAGACGTCCCTCTGGACGAAGGTGTCTGGGCTCAAAGTGGAACACTTGTTTGGAGTCCCTCACAAAACGCTAGGAGCCAGGAAAACAACAGCTCAAACACGCGAACAACGGAGTTCACCAATCCAGGAGCCGTCTCTCCACCTCAGTCATTGCAGCGTAACTCATCATTCACACCACCGGACCAACAGCTCAAAAAACCTGATATCAAACGAACCAAATCAAGTCCTGTCGGTCAGAGGCGAAATAATGTTTCCCAACAAGACAAACCAGCTACTAAACCAGCCCCCTCTCAATCAGAGAATAGGCGAAGCCGAGGCTCAAGTAGCAGCACTGACTCAGACCTTTTTGTAGACAGCGATACCATGAAGAAGGGAGATTTTGAGGTTTTCAAATCTCCACCACTTCCGAGTGTTAGCGAGGGTAGAAAACTGCCCGATCCTCCCGATCAAGAAACCAATCTGCCAAGCCCAGGACCGGTGCAGCCCGTACCACGACTATCTAAATCTTCCGAAAACGTAAGATCAGACCCTATGAGTTCTCCGTCTGCTCAGCGTGACAAATCAAATGGTCCAAATCAGTACAACGACAAAACAGTAAAAGTAAAAGAAGCTGAAAATTATACTCCTTCCTACATGGACTTTTACAAAGACTCGGAACCTGATATAATTGTGGATGTTGTAGAGGAGGTTTCGGAGTCAGGTATTTCAAGACGCAATAGTATTGATCAACGTGGTATCAAAGAAGACAAGAAGAAGGAAGAATTGAAAAGAGATCTTGATAAAGTAGATATGGATTACTGTGCTGAACTGAGTTTACTGCGACAGTATTTTATGAGCAGGTTTCAGGCCATACAGGATGCCCTTTCAAACGCCAACGGGGGCTCTAACTCTAATGATTCAATTAAGGTAAACTTTCTCGGAAAGTTACAAAAGCATGAGCTGACAATGATGCTGAAATACATGAACGACCAGCATGAGGAGGAGCTGAAGAACGCGAGGGAGCACTACGATCTCGAGCACAGGTTCTTGATGAACGCCCTCCGCAACACATCAGACCGAGATGAAGAAATGAGGTACAACATGAACATCAGAGAAAACAACGAGGCTCAAACCAGCACTGCCACGGAGATTAACAGACGGTTTCAGATGCAGACAGAAGACATCATGCGTGCTATTGAGAGAATAGATTATGCTGATGCTATCGCTGTGGAGTGATTTATCTGACAGTTCAACCGACCTCAAATCATCCAAAAAGTTGATCAAACAGAATTATATAGTGGGAAATTGTTTGTCGCCCTCTCACACACAGAAGAATCTCAATAACTGCTAGGTATTACCCATGGGATTAAAGATCAAAGACGTTACCCGTTATGAAGCATAAAATTCAGACTCATTATAGTTCATCTTTTACAAATTACAATCAGACTATTTTTATTGATTTTATGATATTCATCGTTTTAGTGTTGGCGATTGACAAATTGTGTTGAGATTTTTTGTTTGCGATAGGTAAATTTGTTGCTGTGTAATTGTAATATTATGCAAGATTCACATTTCATTTGCTAAAAGATATTTTTGAAACCCATTGTACCAATTAGCCTAAGCAAGACAAATCAAGACAACTTTTTCGATAGTTCTAATTTTTCATCTACCAAACAAGGCATAAATTACATAACATTTAAAAATTTAGCAAAAAATCAAAAGAAACTCCCTGCTTGTATATACTATTTATAAATAATCACAAAAATAGTTTGATTCTCAAATAAGCATCAGTTTGGTCAAAAAACTTTATTTCGTCAGATAGTAGAATTAAAGAATTTAAAATAAATCGCATTTCTGAAATAAATTAGAACGTGCAGAAATGCATTCTCGAAATCGGCAGCTGATCCTGTTGATCATAATCTATGCCCAATTCCACTAACAAAATCTAACTTGGTCAACCAATACGAAATGTCTTTTCTTTCATGCAATTTGTTCAATCCGGTTTCTTGTAACACCAGTTCTGAATCCCGAAGTCATTAAAAGCGCCTGTCTGATTTTATCAAGTTTATAGAGTAACCTTAAAACTCCTGAAATATAAAGCTTCATTAATTTCCATCATATAGATCTCAATCATATCGATTTTAAGAAAACGATGGCAACATTATTATCAAATTAAGCCCAAACTGGAAGTCATTCTACTATATCATAGCGGCTGAAAGGTTGAGGGCTGCAGTTCTTAAGTATAATTCTTTAGTCAGTTAGTGCACACTAAAACTGGGTATCGTCCATCAACATAATAAGCTAATTAAGTTAACAAGGGTGATTATCGCAGGTATCTGTCTTAATTGTGAGCAATTTGTAGCTTGTTTTAGCTTATGTTTATGTTATGGATCTTAGCTAAGTTTTTTAATTATATGCATACTGCGCGGGCTGCATGAACGACGCGAATTGAACCGAACGAACCTTAACTAATGTAAGATGCATGATATAATATATATTATATGATATATATAAGCCTGGGACCACTACTAGCATAGTCACAACATCTACAAAGCTGCCATATAGCCTGACTGACAATTTTCTCGACTGACTGACAATGTTTCTTCTTTTTCCCCATTTAGAATACAAAGATTAGTACATTTTAGCTTATGATTAATATTATATTTTTACCTATAGTTTACTTAGATAATATAATATGGATGCATGCGCGCGCGCAACATTTGCGTCAATGGTCGAACATTTTTACATGCGCGTGTTCCAGGTCGCATTAAATGTAGACCCTTTGAAAAACTGCATTACGTCATCTAAGAAGATGATCTGTAAATTACTTACTCCTCGAAGCCATTTAGTTTGCTCATCCCGTGCTTAAAGTCCAAGTAGGATATTGAGCCATCGTCATCCATATCCATCTCGCTTATTACCTGGGTAGTGGAAAATGTAAAAGACGCTAATTATAAGATTTCTGCTAAATTACCTTCATATTTATTTTGTCTCCTTGACCACAAAAAATAAAAATAATCAACATCGGGAATCAACACTATGTTAATATTATTATTAATCAATACTATGTAATATTATTATGTCATCGTCATTATCTTGGTCTTACTAACGACATATAAACCAGCTCTTAAGTAGGCATTCATTTTATAGAACCTTACGAGTAGTTGTAGGTGATAAGCTCCTTACCAGCCATATAATCAGATACAATCAGCAATTAGCAGTAATCAACCAGCTCTCGCACATTTTGCTGGACACAGAACTATCTGAATACGAATGATTTGGGCAACGCCTTGTACATCGTCTCAACGTTAAATTTCGCCTCTTATTTGGTTTCCTTTTTCAGATAAAGGACATAATATACATTCTTAGGATAATATCGGGTTTTTTCGAAATGAAATGTATAATTAGTTTGATTTACCTTAGATAACATTCTGATACTCTCATCAGATAAACATTAATTTTAATTATATTATAATAGACCATTACTATTAGTTAATTGAGATACAATTACATAAAATAACATTTTCCATTAAAAGGTACAAAATTAGTGATGCAACCATTACCATGCCAATCAATTTTACACTTAACTGTTCAGGAAATGATTCGTTAATTGTCATAGTTCTCTCAAATTGCAACATAATTCGACATTTATCACCGTACAAGTTTCTATTGTGTACTCCAACCGGACCACCGCCTTCTTTTTCTTATTTACTTTTTAATCAGCAGTTACGTAAGAGTAAGCAAGGATTGCCTGAACATTAAACTTACCTTCCCGGCTAATTTTTTAATTTGATCATCCGTGATAACGCTCTGTGTTAGGGTGGATTATAAATTTAATACAAACCTGAATTTAAATAATATGCGAGAGAATTAACTTACTTGAATTTAATAGAATATATTAAAGAGGTGATATAATACACTCTCGATTTGAGGAATGTTACCATACTAGACTCGTTTATAAGAATATTTTGAGGTAAAAAAGGATCACATAGCTTCTGCTAGAGAAGTTTAAAACTGCTCTTCGAAAAATTGTCAGCATTGTTATTTACTGATAATGTCAAAATATTTTGCTTTTAAAAATGCAATTGTGAGAATCATCTAAGCGTAGTCAAAAATTAATTGATAAATCATTTATTTAACTCTTTCTTCGTCAGAATTAATTGGTCAGCTTCATCATAAAATTTAAATTAGAAATCAATTATTTTTGTTAAAATGATCAACAAAACCAGCTTGAAAATGGATCAAGGATTTTATTTTATTTTTTGATTATTCAAGAGCACACATTCCTTACGTACATTCCTGACTATGTCATTAATCTGGGAGTCACTTAAAGCCGTCTCTTCTTTTTTATTACCAGTACGACAGCTCTTCTGCTAGCAGTATTGTACATTATTAACACAGGATAATGAGAATGTTTGTCATTTGTCAACAACAAAAGAGATACACAATCTCTGGTGCGTATAAATGATTGTTGAAAATATCTCATGTTGATTTCAGTCTACAACTGTATTTGCTCTTGATAATAATAATAACATAATAAGAATCAATGTACGATGTGTTATTGTGTCTGGTCAATTCCACCAGTAACCCCTCCTCCCGCGGGAATAGTGAGAAGTGTAAACTTGCACCTTTGCACTGTGTTTATTTTACGATTGAAATTAAGAGATATAGACTCCTTTAAATATCTTCATGTGCTATTCGTGTTCACAACTTAATATTATGATCTTTTAACGTTCAAGATAAAAGAAGAAAATGAACCAAAATTGTTCACGTGTTTTAGGTTTGAATATATTCTAGCTGGAAATTTGAACTACTTAGAATGAAAAAGCATATAAACCCGAAACATTACGCAAGACAGTACTGAAAGTATTTAGTAGGTGCGACTGTTACAAAAATAACACCTTCCCTTGACATGCTCAGAGATGTTATATAACATCTCTGAGCATGCCAAGGAAAGGTGCTATATGTGTTGGTATGATCGACCACTTTTACGGTGACATATTATATGATATATATAACCCTCATAAAAGTGGTCGGTTAGAACAACACATGTGTAACATGCCCCCTCGTAGGTCCAGAACGTACTGTGTATTATAATGCAAGTAAAATCCTTTGTGTTCGCCCACGATATTATCCCTCAAATGGACCTCACTGCAACCACGAGCTTCTAATTATCATTCGTGGGAAGACAGTAGCCGAGAGCCTGGTTTGAAATAAGATTCAGTAATCTGATACCTACATCGTTTGTAAGAAGTTATATTATGGGCGCTTTTTAGAGCTCAGTGCTCGTGGACCTCAAATCATCACTGTCCATTGACCACTGATAACTAACCGGTTTTTTCTTACGATCTAATAAACAGGTGGTGTATTATAAATAACTAGAAGACTAGATTACACGATAATTTAGTAGAGCCGAGTGGCTGACGTAGTAGCTAGCAGTTATTATATGATGTATGTTAAATTAATATGTGCTATCATCCTAGATATATTATCATCCTAGATATATCATCCTAAATATATTAACCCAACAAGAACATATTCAGTAAGTTGCAGTGAAACACTACACGGCTACCAATAATTACCATACCCACTGCAGCGTACACTACTGCACTTAATATAAATAGAAGGGAGTACGTATAGAAAAATGCTAACACATGAACATAACCGGATTACATTAACCCAATAATTACCAAGAAAAATGTGATGATTATGCCCCTCCCCTGTCCCCACCTTGTACAATATGTAGTAGGTATCAACAATTTGATTGTTGTGATTTTGGTAAATCTTACATAACCATTGGTGGGGTATAATCATCACATGATGATTATAGGGATCGCCCATTTGAAAATTAGGTCAAAATTTCGATTTGCCAGCACTGTCTGGCGATCACTCAGATCGTTATACAGCAGATCTACCAAACTATAATTAACGAATTCCATGTTTAGGAACCTTAATGTCTCATTCATTTTTCAATTTCTACACAAATGGTTATTAACCATGTCATTAGATCACGTGTTATAAGTTTTTACCCACTAAAAACATGCTACAAATTGTACAATACATTCCCTAAGGTAAGAAATAAGAATTCTATCTTACGTTTTTAATGACTTGATTCCTCTCGTCACCACTCAAAGTGGCTCCAGTGACTGCAGGTTGTACTAGAAACAGTATCACTTTCTGTAGATCATTCTCACAGATCTGACCGTCCTCGTTGAAATCTGAATATCATTTTTAGTTTTGAGATATTCAGCCTTTGTGTGGAAACGTATCAAAATCCATACATATATTACATACCTACACTACACTTTAATTAGTTAGGTTACATCACAAAAGTTTGTTACTTTTGTATTTTATGTAGGTTGATGTAAACACACACTGTTTCAAAATATTAAAATAAGTTGAACTGTTATGTGTGTAAACACAGTAACCACTGTCTTGACTCCACAATGTGCAGTCTGCAACATGTTGCTACATTTCCTGAATGCTTGCTTTAAATGTATAACTGTAATGTACTCTGTACATTCCCCTAGCAAAGACTTACCGTATATCTTGAAAGCGAAGTCTATCTTTGTTTCCAAGGGAGCCTGAAACATTACACTATTAGTGACAAGAGTTAACCCCACATTAATGAGACTCACGCGTCACTTGACCACAACAATAACCGTGTACACACCATACCTCAATAGAGAGAGACAATATAAAGCCTATTTTACAGTAGTACAGTTAACAATGCTCGTACACATTATCTAGCCATTATATAATGACCACGTGCATTGAGAACACTCAAGGAGCACATTCCTATCAAAAACTCAAAAAGGTAAGTTGGTGCAATGGACGTATTGGAGTATTGAAAGCTACAATATTCCGAAGATATAAATGCAAATAGATCAAACCAGAGTAATCTAAAGGACATATTATCAGGATTAAAATATATAATTACTTCACTGTAGTAGCTTTGTCTGAATAAACAGTTCGCATTTCAAGTGGTGCAACCCAAAATGTATAAAGCAAACTAGACAATGTACAATATACATTGTACATTCATACATTGATATATGTGTTGATTTGTGCAGCTTTCTTTATCTTGAAATCTACCATTTCTACCGGCTCATATTGAGTGACTACTATATCCGAACAATGGTTTGATACGACAAAACTCAAAACACTAGATTTTATTAAATAATACTTATATTTCAGACAGTACTACTACTAATACTGTGTTCTATCTGCTGATGAATGATGATAGTAAGAAATATCAGCTATCATTTAAATGTAAGATAGTTGATAGTCAACACTAAAGCACTAACAGCCTCACGACACACACAGTCTATCTTACGTCTGTAGATACGAGATTATAACGGGCCTGTCATCTGATTTACACACAAAGAAGCAGGACTTTAAACAATGAGGTAAAGGAATACTAACCTTTAAACAATGAGGTAAAGGAATACTAACCTTTAAACAATGAGGTAAAGGAATACTAACCTTTAAACAATGAGGTAAAGGAATACTAACCTTTAAACAATGAGGTAAAGGAATACTAACCTTGCTGCTTAACTGACTCATCATGTCCAGGAACTGCTCAAAGTTCATGTGTCCGTCACCTGTGTCTGAGAACACCTCTAGTATACGTTCTTTGAAGGGATTAGCCTGAAGTAGGAAGTTGTTAGGTAAGTCATGGTAGCAGACTACAGAGAGCATATTATTACTTCCTCCCCTTAAAATGATGACGTCATATTATTTGAACCATCCCCTCTCATGTCATAGCATTCCAACCAGGTGAACCAGCAAATAACCTGCTCTAGCGTTTACTTATCAGTCCTCCAGTATATCATAAGATTATACCGTACAAGTTGATTTTGAAAGAAACAAAATATTTACTGCGAGTTCAGGAAGTGCTAAGATATCTTCTTTAGCTAAGGTAGGATTCCTGCCATGTAGCTTCATCTTTTCAGGGGCAAGCTCCCCGAATCTTTTATGAACACTGAAAAGCTTAAGCTTGATAATTTGCAGCCTTTCCTTGTCAATTAAATTAGAAACTAGAAATAACTTTTCAAATCAAATATCACTTTGATAAGTTGGTCAAAAAGAATTCTAATAGTACTATTTTGTCGAGATTCATCGCACGAAGCTGAATAGATGAGAAATAAATTTAACTGTTCTAGCGTAAAACTATAACAATAACTTACTGCAACACTTCACGTTTTGTGAAATACGTCAGATCTTGAAACTCGGCCAGTTCCGACTGATCATAAGCTGATGTTCCTTGACCCATCAGGCTGAATTTGTGATTCAAATTAATATACAGTTTGGTGTGATGACTGATGAGTTTAGTAAATCAGTTTGATGGTCATTATAAGACATTTAAACTAATTATTCCAATTAGTAGAGAATATGGAAAAATTCAGGATTATTCAGTAAGTGCAAAACTATAATTTAAGGCGATGATCAATGATCATATTATGTTCGGCAGTATTCCCCCTCTACAACGCGCCTCTGTATAACGCAGTCCCTCTGTAAAACGTGATTTTTTCCGGTAAAGTTTTTCATCCTTATTTGTTGGAACGAAATAATAATAACATCCTGCAATTTCGTTCACATGATATTATCTTAGATCATCTGATTTATCAATGTTGTCTCTTATCTCTAAAATGCATAATAGCTTCCACCTACGTGCCAATTGGCGCACGTCACTCGTCAGTCTGACGTGGCGTCAGAGCTAATTTTAGCGCGAAAATAAATTATCCCCTTTATAACGCAGTCCCCCTGTAGACCAAGTTTTTTAAATGCGAAAACCGCGTTATAGAGGGAGAATACTGTGTACTGAAATAGAGTAATGAAAAGACACAACATTTTTAGGTTATATATTGTGGAATACAGAACTTTATAATTTGTATTAGACATTTACAACCATTTCTATCAACTAATCTACTCTAGTTTACAATACCATGTAGATTGTAGGTCTAACAAGTATCTATATTATATTTAAATTAAGTTAATTAAAACATTTCATGTACTATATATTTCATGTACTATAATATATATATTATTTAAAAACCTAACAGTAAAAAAACAGTATTTTGAAATACTCTTAAATACAAACATAACCCACACCACCACAGCGAAAACAAAAATGTGCACATTGCACAATATACATAGAAAAACTTTCTATACTCACTAGAATTATACATTTATTTGTTTATAAACAAATGTTTATAAACAAATACCACCCAATTGGTAAACATAGAAATACTGTTATTAAATACAATACGATTAGGATTTAAAAACATTAGTTACTTAAATTATTGTCCACATTTTATTTAATTCCTAAACACCGCTTTGACAATATTTTAGGTAAGACTTACATAATATTATGTTATAGAATAGCATAGATATTTCAAAAAATTCCTATAAATGGTTATAATTATACAAAATTTCACTAAATTACAAGCTACTCTTTTCAAAAATGAGAATGTTTCTGCAAAAATAATATATTGACAAATTTTAAGACATTGATTACGATTTAGTATTTACTTGTTTGTGCCTACTGTGTTTTAAACATTCCTCATATATTTTCTTAAATGTGTGACGGAATTAAATTGGGAGTACCACTTGACGAATAAAAGTCGTAGAACATTTAGGTTATTGTCATATGTACCCATCCTATCAACTGGAGACTCGAAAATATGGTCAAAAACGGCAGGTCCATATTTATTTCGTCACAGTACATGTTTATAGTAAAGATTTTTGTGCCTGTCGTATTTAATTTTAGGTTTTCCTACAGGATGAGACGATTATCATAACCAACAAGGGTTTATTAATGTGACAAAGATAACTATTAACTACACCAGACCTTTTAATAGGGTAACTAACAATACCAATATCCTCAACTTCCAATGAACATGTCTATAAACAAAACAAAACTATCAAAATACTTAAACACTATAACGATTTGAGTATGAATTTATAAACAACGAGTTTCTACAAATTTTTTATCAAAGTTTTAGTTTGAAAACATAAAAAGAACAGAATGTTTTGTTAAACACCACCAAAAATTGCCTACTTAAATATAAACCTAACAACCCCTTGGTTTAGCCACTTTCCACCAATCTTTTGGATAGTGGTATTTCTGCAGTTCTATTCCTTCTCTGGGAACAGTCCAAGTCCTGTGGAAGAGTACTATGATATTATTGTTTTGAATAATTTCCTGGCGTTTAAACAATCTTAGGAATGTTATGCCTCCATAATGGTCAGTTTTAAAACGCTAATAGTAGCTCAAAATAGCTCAAAAATATAGGTATAGTACTAGTTCAAAAATGTATATCATAAAATGCATTAGTGAGCATAATTACTAATTATCGTGCCCAATATTTAAATAATATAGCTCAATTGACATCAGCAGAATTAACCACGGATTACCTATTTATAAACTCCATGGTAGGAAGAGGAGTCTTTACAAGTCTCGCTGGGAAAATGTATTTTGATCTGTGATTCGCCCAAAAGATGTATGTCTCCCACCCTGAACATCTGTGCATCGTACCCGAACCGTAGTAGTCACACCAGAATGACAGATCAATCTGAAAAGAGCTGATAAGTGATAAACAACATGTTCTTCCCCTCTCCAGTATTTTCTATTGAAGTTTATTTTAAAGACTTAATAACGTCCAATGCAATATTAATTCAATGTCACGTGAACATTTAAGTTTATACAATCTGGATTCTGGTACGTTTTTGTCAGAAAGTTATAAACATTTGTGCCCTACCTGTGAATGATAGACAGGGGAGTAGCCCTGAATAATACCACCCCAGCCACGGTAATAAACATCCATACCCTGTTCTTTCATGTCTCCCATTAGAAATTCAATACTTCCCATTATATCCGAATTTCTATCCAGTATCACAACTGCCGAAAGAAGTGTTTCAGAATTAAACCAATCCCAACAAAATATAATATGAAATGAAATAAAGTATTTTATAACATTCCAAATTGCTTATAATGTAAATATTACTCAAATGCTGCTTTCAAAAAAATCATTCAAGCGGTGAAAGCTTTGAGAACAAACTACATTACATTATTTATTGTATTATCATATTCGTATTTTAATATTCGTAGTTTAATATTCGTATTTTAATATCCGTATTTTAATATTCGTATTTCAAAATTCTAAAAGTATGTTTGCCCCTTATTGGACGAGCAAATCATATCCCTGCATTCGATTTTTGCAGGATGACAGTAAAACTGGGTTAGGGTTACTTACAAAGATCGATATCAATGTCCCAAGGTAAAATGTCACCAGTTCTTAGGGCTCCCCATAATGACCCAAAGCCTAACACATACGTCATATCTGAAATAATGCATACTATTACTTTTAATACATCAAGCAAAACATTGACAACATCACAGTACTGCAGTCATGCGTACACTCACCAGACACTAGAAACTAGACAGAGGTTTGAAACGATTTTGTTGGGAGGTCAAGGTTAAGGGGGCAGGGGGGGGGTCTTCATGGAAATTTTCTCAAAATCGACTTTTTAGTTGTTTCTGATAGATGGGAGTGATATCTATCAGATGCTTTTAAATTAAATAGAATCCGATAGAAAAATATTGCTCATAGCAGAAATAATCGCCGGTAGAAGGTCAGCGCTTGTGTGTAATTGTATTACGCAAGCGATTTTTGATCGCGTGCCCTGAAAATCGAGTCTAAAAATCTCCTCCTACATTTTTTGAGCAATCACCCTCAAACTTGGGGGGCCAAACTTTCAGGATATGTTCTAGGGATCATTTAGAAGAGATTGTCCAGGCAAAATTTTGAGATAGACCTTTAAACATTTTTTATTCGATTTTGAAAATCTTGGACCTGGTTTTTTGACGATTTTTCGAGGTCCAAGATTTTAAAAATCGAATTAAAAATGTTTAAAGGCCTCTCAAAATTTTGCCTGGACAATCCCTTCTAAATGATCCTCAGAACATATCCTGAAAGTTTGAGGGTGATTACTCAAAAAATGTAGGAGGAGATAGATTTTTAGACTCGATTTTTAGGGCACGCGATCAAAAATCGCTCGCGCAATACAATTACACACAAGCGCTGACCTTCTACCGGCAATAATTTCTGCTAGGAGCAATATTTTTCTATCGGATTAAAAGCATCTGATAGATATCACTCCCATCTATCAGAAACAACTAAAAAGTCGATTTTGAGAAAATTTCCATGAAGACCCCCCCTGCCCCCTTAACCACGATAACAAGTTATCAGGACACGACTAACCGCTAACGATTAGAAAATGCCATTCAAAACTCACTATGTTTATCAAGGATATCTTTCGTTTGACGTCCAATTGTTCTCATATCTTCCAACTCATCTGCAGGAACTTGACATCTAGGTTCTAGTTCTGTTCCATACCAACTACTCCACCTGAATTCAAACATCACCACATTAATAAAGAGTTCGATTGAGTAGCTGCTATTGCAAATGGCAGGTACTTGTAAGTTTCTAACTGGTACTTGGAAACAGACACTTTTTCATTGCATAACAATCTTATTGCAAAAACTTGTTTTGTACTGTAGTTGTTTTCAAACCTTAGATTAATCCAAATGTACAGTCCAAAGATGAATCCTGCTATAAATAACCATTTCCAAAATCTATCCGTCAGAATCCTCCAGTATACACGATTTTTTGCTTTAAATTCTGTGTACGATATGTCGTTGGGGAAAATAAGGTTCATCGTCTAGAAGAAATCAGTATTAATCAGTAAATTAATCACAATACAAATATATAAATCAATACAAAATTCTTATCAGCGTGAAATCAACTGTTCTAGATCACAACATTATTATGTAGTACAAGAGAACAAACTGATAGCTGGAAGTTAACAGTATTTGTTAGTGGGCAATTTTTATCGTATTAAAAAATATCCATCCCAACCGAAGTTGAAGATACAGCCGATTGATATGTAAAACACTCACCCAACGTAATACGACAACAAAACCACCACAATGTCGTTCCGATAACGGATAACATTTGAATTTTGATATGATAACACAGAAACTGCCTCTTAAAACGTGCTAAGGTGCTATTTACCCATATTTCAAGAGCGCTATAATCTTTTCTTCAGATAACGAAGTGTTCCTATCATGCTGCTTCGAGTTTTCCAGCACAACATTCCAACATGTTCTGAGTGCATTGACCCCCTTTCAAAGAAAGTGTCCTGATAACATAGGACTGTACCACAGCATTACAGCATAGTTTCGTCTCAAATATCTTTTTCGTATTAATATACAACATGATACATTATCTACAAAATGCATATGTTATTGGTGACGGCAACTTGGTCGTTTAGCTCCGGACAGTCTATGCAACGTCTATGCAACGTCCATGCAACAACAAAAGAACCGTCTATGCAACGTCTATGCAACGTCCCTGCACAATGAACACTCTATGCACACTCCCTGCACGGTCAGTCTATGCAACGTCTATGCAACGTCTATGCAACGTCTATGCAACGTCCCTGCACAGTACCATATGAACACCGGCTACTAGCCGGCTACTAGCCGGCTACTAGCCGGCTAGTAGCCGAGCTCTAAAGCAGACCTACTAGTAGCCGGTTCCAAACCGGCTACTAGCCGGCACTTAGAAAGCGGTCACTAGCCGGCTACTAACCGGCTACTAACCGGCTACTAACCGGCTAGTAACCACCAAGTGGCTACTAACCGGCTACTAACCGGTCACTAGCCGGTTTAGAACCGGCTACTAATAGGTCTGCTTTAGAGCTCGGCTAATAGCCGGCTAGTGACCGCTTAGTAGCCGGTTAGTAGCCACTTTGTGGTCACTAGCCGGCTAGTAGCCGGTTAGTAGCCGGCTAGTGACCACTTTTCAAGTGCCGGTTAGTAGCCGGTTGTTAATGTGAAGTTGAGGAGCTGTTATTACAAAAGTGGCTACTAGCCGGCTAGTAGCCGGCTAGTAGCCGGTGTTCATATGGTACTGTGCAGGGACGTTGCATAGACGTTGCATAGACGTTGCATAGACTGACCGTGCAGGGAGTGTGCATAGAGTGTTCATTGTGCAGGGACGTTGCATAGACGTTGCATAGACGGTTCTTTTGTTGTTGCACGGACGTTGCATAGACGTTGCATAGACTGTCCGGAGCTAAACGACCAATTTCCCCAAAGAGAATTATCGGCTACAATAACTTCGCTTAACTTTAAATAAAAAACACAGTGAATATAATAACAAAAATTCTGAACCAATTGCACATATTATGCCATTTTTCTCATTAAAAACTCAGCAATCAAAAACAATTTGTTTACAGTTTGCAATTTATTATGTTTTATTATTATTATTGATTATATCGAGATTAACTGCGCAGCACAAGGGGTCGTTCACATATTACGTAATCAGCCGTGGGGGGAGGGGGTTTCCAAATGATTAAGCTAGTAATCAATAGCTATGTGTAAAATAGATAACGGAGGGGGGGTACAAATTGTTCAAAAAGTGATTACGTAATATGCGAACGACCCCTAATTGAGATGAATAAATTTATAAGATAAAAAGCTCCAATACTTAATCTAAGAAGAACAAAAAGATATGAATGTCATATTATCAGGACATAAAATTCAGATTATCAAGGTTCTGTCTGCTTTTTGAAAGTCTTTCTTCAGAGTTAGAAAAATAAAAGATTAAGAAATAAGAATCAAAAGATTAAAAAGCATTAAAATAATCAAAAAATTAAAATGATTAAGATACAAAAAATGATTAAGATACAACAAAATCTTTCATGCAAAAATAATTAAAATAATTAACATTTTCTTCTAAAAACATAACAGTAGTTATTAAGATACAAAAATAAATTGTTCGTAGAATAGAACAGAATCAAATTATACACAGCCAATAGCCATACATGAAAAAACAAAAGAAGATGATAAAATATTGATAATTTAAAATTTACACGTAAAAAGCAACCATTGCAATGATATTCGTTTGGCTAAAACCTAAAAGCGCCACAGGTACTTCATTCCTAATAATGCAAGTAATATTCACTTAAGATACTATCTGATAAGGCATGATAAAGGTGGTGAATGGAGCTCGTGAATCAGGATCATATTAAGCATGTTCAGGGATGATGAGTAAGCAACAAATTACAACTTTACAACATAAACTTGGTCCTAACAGCCCTTTGGTTTAGCCACCTTCCACCAATCATTCGGATAGTGTATTTTCTGTATTTCTATACCATTTCTCGGCACTGGCCACGACCTGTAATGAAATAAACTAAAAAACAAATAACAAGTCAACAAACTGTTTTCGAGATGTAAAGTTAAACCATTTGGAGCAACTTTCATGTCTAACTTTACGTCTCTCAACAAGCAACTAGCATACGAAAATAAGAAGGAAAATGAGACGAGTAAAATAATAACCAACGTTTTGGCAAGTATCGACACTCGGCTTCTAACAAGATAAACACCAGCCTCCAATTCTACAGTAAGCACTGTATAAACAAAGCTTTCACACAAAGCTTCATCTCATGAGATTTGAAGGAAAGCTAGGTATCAGTTTCCTAGCTTGGTGTTTAGCTTTGTCAATACAATAGCCTACTAGAAAAAGGGTCAGTGTAATTCTAAGCTCAGTTGTACCTTGTTGAGTGCTAATTGTTGCCGAAGCGGCCGTTTGTTAATTACATGTTGGTTGTTTCATTTGTCCTTTGTATATTCGTTGCTAAAGACTTTAACAGTTAACTTATTGATGGAAATCGCTCTAAATAATACACTCAACTCATCCTCATCTGTATGGTTGATAACTTTATTTGAGCAAAACCAAGGTTAGAATAGACAAACTTGTGTTCTTTAAGTAACCAGTATATTAACGTTATTCCCAAACTAAAAACCTTGGTACTAATGCATTAAAACCAAAAGCAATCTGCCACATTCCGCCACTGACCTATTAATAAAATTAAGGGTGGGAAGAGGTGGCTTTACAAGTCTGGCTGGGAAGATGTAATGATATCTGTAATTAACAAAGAAGATGAACTGTTCCCACCCCGAACACCTGAACATTGTCCCGGTGCCGTAGTAGTCACACCAAAACGTCACATCAAGCTAAGGAAACAAAGAAAAGTTAGTTCAAGAATTGTCATCAGAAGAATTGTAGCGCTGGTTATTTTTTTTTTTTTTATCAATAAACTTTCAAATTGTTACACAAATACATCATTTTATTTCAAAGAAAATATCGCCGAATGACCTTACATGCCTTGACAAGTGACCGAGTGTAAACAAAATAAGGGACACCGAAACACCAGTTGACCAGTAAACTGATCATAGCAATTACATCGGGCCCTAAATGCACCTATAAGTGAAGCGATGCTGCAACCAAGGCATGCTAGGTTTATTCCATTGAACTAATAAGGTTACAGCCTAAAATATAAATATAATAAATAACAATGTACCATAAATCATAATTATAAACACACACACTTTATTTAACATATTTTATTAATTATACTTTTTATCAATTTATATTTAGACAATATAGTTACATTAAGGTAAATTGTTTAACTGTCAGAGGATGTTATATGGTCAAGAAGCGAATGCCTGTGAATTTCATTTCACTTTCCAGGACAATTATAGGAATTTCAATTGCACTGTGACTTGGGCCTGGGGTCCTCAGCCCAATGTGCGAGTAATATATCAATGTAATTTTATAGTATCAATAGCATTGAATCTAAATTCTAACGATACGATGATTATCATATTTGCTTCAATTTCAAGACATATGCTACACCCTTTCATAGTCTAGCTTTGATCGTACCTGTGATTTGTAGACGGGAGAATAACCCTGGATAATACCGATCCAATCTCGGTAATACACTTCCATACCCTGAGCTTCCATCTCCTTCTTTAGCCAATCAATCGTTCCTTTGATGTCAGAATTTCTATCCAATACAACAACTGCATTAGAAAGGGTTTTAAAAGACTGATTTAAATTGTAGACCAATCTGTATCATGAACTAATTAATTAAATCGACTGCATATATATCGCATCATTGTAACTCGTAAAAGCTTTAACCTGAAATTTTAAAAATTTGTTGAAGTTTTATGGATTGAACATTAGATCAATGAGCGATTGACTTATTACACACTACACAGATACACTGTTTTATGTAGGGAGTAAGAATTAACATATTCAAAGAACGGTCACTTAAAGAAAACTTTTACTTACTAAGATCAATATCAATATCCCACGGTAAAATGTCACCATGTCTTAGAGCTCCCCATAATGAACCAAATCCTAATGCATACGTCATATCTGAAATATAATAACGTCATGAACAGTGAACACAGAAATCAAAAGTGATCACATTCGGCAAAAATGAATTAGGTTCATGTTCCATATCGATATTATTGTACAATCATTCAAACTAACTATGCTTATCAAGGATATCTTTTGTTTGACGTCCAATCAGTCTCATATCTTCTAACTCCTCTTCAGGAACTTGACATCTAGGTTCTAATTGAGTCCCATACCAAGTACTCCATCTGCAATATAACGAATTTTAATTTAACGGGGCAAATAATTAAAACACCGGGTGGAGGTTCAATTTAAAAAGTCATTCTTTTCCTTCGGAGTTAAGGAAACAAAATGTATGCAAATGAAATATCAAGGTAAAGTTTACCTTATATTTATCCAGCAATAGAATCCAAAACAGAAGGCCAGCATAAAAAGCACTTTCCATATACGATCTGTAAGAATCTTCCAGTATAACTTATTCTTCGTTGTAAAGTTTTTGGTCGATATGTCTTTGGGATAAAGAAAGTCCATAGCTTCAAAAATTGTGAGTTATCAACTACTCATCATCCTCAACAATAATTCTGAACGGATAATTTGAGAACTATCTATCATAGCTATTTCGAAATACTGTTTACAATATAATGCTTTTGAATACGAAGGGAAACACACAACGTAAGGCTTGAAATCTTCGTAAAACTACATCATTACTCATTAGAGCCTGTAAAAACATTTAACATTAAGTTAAGCACTCTATCAAGTAAAATTCATATATAATAATCATCATAGTTTATTAACTCAAACGTAAAAATTGTAACAAAGGCAACATTTAATCAGTCAAAATTCGTAGCAACGGTACAACTCCACTCGGAAAATTATAGTATAGTATGAAACAAACTAAACACTTTAGTAAAGCTGATAAGCAGTGACTAGAACTACTTATCAAACAAAAATGCACTAATCGGTCTTAGAACTGCTGTGTCCCCTTACTGTAAATTGATAACGCTAAGAAATCTCGTTAAAGTATATTTATTTATAAAACTTTAAACAGAATGTCAACTTACACTTTAAATGATAATATTAACTCTTATAACTATGATAAACTCATGTAGCGAAACTAAAAGTTTATATAATTGATGTTAAGTGGATTCTATAATCTATTTATTACTTATTTATAAATATTGATCGCCAGGAAACTAAGATACGTGTTTGGGTTAGAATTCTGTCTATGATAAGGGTTGTGATAGTTTCTTGGTAAATAGTCGTCACCATAGACGTTGAGTTGATAAATTTACTTTCTGCACAACATACATGGCCATGGATATTGGATATATATATATATCTAATCAACCCATTTTGAATCTACACTCAAGTACACAATGTACATATTACTACATTGATATCAAATTAAAACAGTCATGACTTGATAAACAATGAGTATATTATATAATATATATCTCGATCGGTTTAATAATCTAATACAAAACAGAAATGTATATATATATTAAATACCCAAGACAACAAATATAAGTTTACAAGCAACTTTCTTGAATAAAGTTAAATAAGTAATCTAGTCGGCGACAATGATTGTTTTAATACAGTGATACCCCGATTTACCAGAATTGTACAGCCAAACTTCTTCGAAAAATTAAAAATCCGGAGTTATGATTTAAACTAGTATAACTTCCTGGTAATTCCGAGTTCATGATATATCGGGGCACGGTAAATTGGGATTTCATTATAAATCAGCTCAGCTGATTTATAATAAAATCCCAATCCCAGCTGGTAGCATGCAGATTGCAATATCAAATCAGAACATCGGTCTAACAATGTTGGTAGAGCTAACTCAAGCTAAGATATTGCAAAAACTACTGGATACGATATACAACACTAAAAAGTATGCCTATCATGGGAGGGCCAATACAAAACACAAAAATTATACAAATATATTTGTAGAACTAAATGGAACTCCGGGTCACATAACAAATAAATCGCTAAATTTGGTCCTAACATCCCCTTGGTTTAGCCACTTTCCACCAATCTTTTGGATAGTGGTATTTCTGCAGTTCTATTCCTTCTCTGGGAACAGTCCAATTTCTGAGATGAGGTTATTGACTGTGATTTTAAAGGCTTTAAAAAACGTTTAATTTTGAAGCGATTAGTTTGAAAACTAGGTTGCGGGTGTGGTTCAGGAATGGTAACAATGGTATGTAAGAACCACTATTCAGAAATAAAGAAGCAGCTTATTCTATATGAATCTACAGTTTTGTATTTATTCGTGAACCACTACTTTTGATAAACCTTATATATTACCTTTTTACGAAATTAAGGGTGGGAAGAGGTGTTTTTACAAGTCTTGCTGGAAAGGCAAAATTGTATCTGTGGTGAATAAAGAAAAACCAAGACTCCCACCCCGAACATCTGTGCATTATTCCCATGCCATAGTAGTCACACCAAAATGACACGTCAAGCTGAAGAGGAAAGAGGGTCGATTGTCAGCATTCAAGGGATGTCGGATTACAGTTTGATTTGATTTGAAACTTTTACAAAATAGCAAGTATAAAAATGTACAGCATATCGAACAAAATGGGCCGAAAAGTATAAATGCTAAAAAGCGTGGGTCAGTGAAACAAGTACAGAGGACAACTTTCAGAACAGGAGTATTTTGGCCGCCCAAAGTCTCAATAACATCACCTCCACCTAGTAATAAAATGATGAAATGTGAAAAGTGTGAAACAGTCAAATAATAATGTATGTATATAATATAAATGTCTTTCAAATACAGATAACGTCCGAAAACTCTTAAGATACTCATACATATACTGATCGGTGTCCGAGAGACATGAATTACTTCATGTTTAATCCCGACACATCATTGTATTTGCATTTTTGTTGTAAACAGAGGTCCACATAAAAGAGAACAATAAAATTAATGTGATATCTGAACTTTATTTTGACAGACACAGGACACAAGTTTCATCAATTAAAAGATTAACTTTACAGGTACAAAATCGTAAGAAATGCATTACAGATATTCAATGCATCATGCAAACATTGCTAATATTAAGATGAAGGTTTGGCAGCCCGGAAACATTACTTTTTGTAAGTCAGCAGATGGGTTAACAAAGTTTGTTATCTTTCTTAGTAAGTTCCAGTGTATCTAAAATATCGACGCTTTTCTTCCCCTGTCCTCCAATTTTAAATGTATGTTGAAATAATGATCAAATAATACAATGTGGATATGCATACATGCATGTGCAGAATGCAATACCCTCCTAACCCATTCATGAACCTTTCAGTAATAACGAGGTGTGTTAGTTAACAGCGTGCTAAACTCTCGGGGTACTGGATTTGTATGATTATTATGGTATTATTATGTAAGAATGGTACAGGAATTCAGAAAAAAGTGAAGTCAATATCAAAGACTAAAACTGACTCAACTATTATAATATGGGAAGTCTATGTAATGCTTGGTAGATTAAAAACTTATGACAAGTCAATTAACACAACAGTGCTTCAAAAATAAGAGGATTGATAAACTTATCATGAATTGTTCATACCTGTGATTTGTAGACAGGGGAGTAACCCTGAATAATACCAACCCAGTCACGGTAATAAACATCCATACCCTGTTCTTTCATCTCAACTATTAAACCATCAATTGTTCCTCTAATATCTGAATGTCTATCCAATATCACAACTGCAGGAAGAATTGTTCAATTAACAATTTGATTGATAAACTCAAAAAACTCGAGAAATTGTTGAACATAGTTTAAGTTAAACTTACGAATATCAATATCAATATCCCAAGGTAGGATATCTCCAATTCTGAGAGCCCCCCATAATGATCCAAATCCTAACACATACGTCATATCTGAAATAGCAATGAATAAAATCTTGACAAAAATGGTTCTTTAGGCACATTTCACCCTGTGAATTCATTGGTAGCTGAAGATAAAATCATAAAAATTTAGTATCACTGGTTACTGAAACATTTTGGTCTCTCTAACTACAGGAGATGATGCAAAGAGATTGTTGGGATTTTAAATGGCTGTAATTTAAAAATTTTACCCCATTTATTGCACATTTACATATTAAACATATATGAAAATCAGAATAAATACAAACCACTTACTATGCTTATCAAGAATATCTTTAGTCTCACGTCCAATCATTCTCATATCTTCCAACTCTTCTTCAGGCACTTGACATCTTGGTTCTAGTTCTGTTCCGTACCAACTACTCCACCTGAAATGTAACACAAACCTTCAATGCAGGACAAAAGAGCAAGATGGTAGACAAATAATTCTAGAAATCTTAAGGCATTATGAGTAGGCTTGAACACAGCAAATCAGTTTAATTGACAATGAAACAAATAATTAATATTTGCCGTTATAAAACAAGCTGTTTACCTTAGATTGATCCAAACAAAGATGCCAAAGCAGAATGCAAATAGACAGAACACTTTCCATACACGATTTGTAAGAATCCTCCAATATACCACATTCTTTACTTTAAAGTTGGTAAAGTCTATGCCTTGGGGATAAAGGAAGTTCATTCCCTAAAAGATGCATGCTATTAATCGGACTATTAGGTCTTCTGTAAAAATTTGAGCCAAAACAGACTTAACTTTAAGCTCATTGATTTGATGCAAATTAAAGTCATGGGTGAAAGATGTTGAAGAAGAACTCGAGCTTGCTCTAAGCTCTTACTGCTTACAGAAAAGACATCTGCAGGTGGTGCACATATTTACAAAGAACGATAAATGGAAAGAGTGAAAATTTCAAGCCCTTGGATGCTGCAATAAATGATCATCTAAATCCTGAAATTTCACCACTTGAAAGAGAGATCATAGCTATATTTCACGAACAGATCATGCTGGGCCTTCCTTGGTATACCAGCATCTCAAAGCTTCTAATCAAATACAACTTCCCCCACTCATCTTCCTCAAAATCTAAACTCTCCATCCAAATCAGTCATAATATGAGGGAAGAATTCGTGAATACCTGGAAATCTGCCAAGGCCTCCTCGCAAAAACTAGGTGACCTAGTGAAAGTGCTGGTGACGATGAGAAAGACCATAAACCAGGGATTCCTTCGGGAGCATGTAAGATTATATCCAAAGTTTGTTCGCCAATGGGGTGTGTCTGGGTGTCAAAGATCTTCAAGGTGGGTGCTACTTGTGATGAACTCTAGAAGGATGGGATGGTAATACTCGGTCTGGCCGTCTGGAAGCCCATAGAATTCCAGTTCAGAAACCGAGTAAGGAGGTGCGGCTACTGATGAGAAGCCTCCTTAAAGTTTATTTGGGTTAGAAACGACATCTGGGTCCCTACCCTCGCACAAGATTATTCTCAATTTTCTTGTTGTGTCCACAACTATACCGTTGATCAGAGTCACATCTGATGACTTCAGTGAAAGGGCTGATGACTTCAGTGAAAGAGCTGGTGACCTAGTGAAAGTGCTGGTGACGATGAGAAAGACCATAAACCAGGGATTCCTTCGGGAGCATGTAAGATTATATCCAAAGTTTGTTCGCCAATGGGGTGTGTCTGGGTGTCAAAGATCTTCAAGGTGGGTGCTACTTGTGATGAACTCTAGAAGGATGGGATGGTAATACTCGGTCTGGCCGTCTGGAAGCCCATAGAATTCCAGTTCAGAAACTGAGTAAGGAGGTGCGGCTACTGATGAGAAGCCTCCTTAAAGTTTATTTGGGTTAGAAACGACATCTGGGTGCCTACCCTCGCACAAGATTATTCTCAATTTTCTTGTTGTGTCCACAACTAAACATGATTTCGAAATGGCAAAGAAAACAGGTTTCATGAGCAGCTTAAGGAGGTTATAGAGACATCTGATTTTTTGACCAAACAACGTCTTGAAGAAACACAAGAAAAGAGCATCATCGTGGTTGACAGCCTTGCCACTAAAACAGCTTGGGTTTATTGCTTATATATTCTGAACAAACACAAATTTCGAAATGCCATTATTCTGAAGTATAATTGGTCCATTCCAGACATACAAAAAGAATGACATTATCCAAACAAAAACTGGGGCATGAATCAAGTCAATGAAACAAGAAATTCAATGAAACAAGAAATTTAATTTTAGCACATTTTACAGACTAAAAAGATGTAACAATTCATAAAATATAATGCCCATTTGGTGTATGACTTTTTGTCCTTGACTGCTAGTTTGGTTTTGGAAGGACAGGTAACTAACGGGGCAAGGAATGCGCGTGCCTGAAAGCTTTTGCACACACCGAAACGCTAGTTCAGTTAGGTTTTTAGAGACAGGGCTCATTTTAGGACTAGAAGAAATTTGTTAGTAGACATTAGGGGTTCTGTTTATAGTTGTTACTATAGGTTGCAGTCTTGTTGTGACAAAAAGTCTACACTAAAACATGCTTTAGTTTATATTGTGTGGTTCAAGGATATAAAATGTGGCTTCAAGGTGTATATTAAAGAGCTTGCGAAAGATTATGGCCTTTGTATCAATGGTTAGCTTCTCCAAACTGATGGACAAAATCAATGGGGCATTCTGTAGTGGTGAGAAACCGAAGATCAATAGTCTGCTGATCAACCGCTTCAAAGAGGATGGCTCCCTACCAAAACATTCGGATGATGAAGCCACCATCCACCCCGAATCCGAAATTTTCACTGTGTCCATCGGAGGCCAGTGCAACATAAAATTCTTTGACAAGAAGACGGATGATATAGTCCTTGACCACCCATGTGTTCCAAGATCCATGTATCGCATGACACGAAGTAGCCAAGAGTATTACAGCCACTGTATCATGGATGGGGCAATAACTGGTGGGGTCAGATACAGCCTAACTTTTCGTTCAGTTAGCTTCAGGAACAAGAACTCTACGTGCATCATAGGAGACAGTCATACAGGGGGGCTTAAGTTTGGGTCAGATGCCAGGAAATCGTTTGGACAATGGTTCCCTGGGAGGCAATATTTTGCACCAGTGGTTGACCAGATTGACCCATATGTCACATGTGGTTATCGTAACGTTGTTTTGATGTGTGCGATTAATGATCTTAAAAAACCTGAGATCAAGAATACAGCTGATATTAAACGAAATGTATTTATTCCCTTTATTAAAAAGATTGAGAAAATTCATGCTATTAACCCTAAGGCACATGTATATGTTTGTCCAGCCCTGCCTACAAAGCTTGCTGAACTGAATAGAAAAGTTGTTTGCTTTAACCGCCTTATTCTGACAGAGCTGATCCCTTCAAATTTTGGTGTGACTTACGTCGATGGGTTCGGTGGGTTCTGTGATGATGCTGGGCTTCTTAGCCAACAGTTCTCCAGAAACATCGGCCGAGACCAGCGACCAGATTATCTCCACCTTAACTGGAGGGGTACAGCTAAACTAGGCACTTTGATTCGTAACACAGTGCTTCTTAGAATGAATGGAGGAGTTGATAGAAGGAAAAGGAGAACAGACGAGGTTGATGGACGCTCATTTTGGAACGTGTTGAGTGGGACGGGTTCTACTACTGCTGCTGAGTCTCGACACCAGGATGGTTACCAGCCATTCTGACTCCCCTGAGTAAAGAGGTATGCCTAGTCTGTGCGAAGTTCATTAACGTAGGACAATTCATTGTTGAATGCTGTGAATGCGACTGCCCAATGCACCATAAGTGCTATACCAAATCCATTAACAATGACACATTATCTGACGATTTTTACTGTCCCAAGTGCGTACATTTAGCAGTTATTCGTTACAATCCATTTCGACTTGCATGCACTAATTTAAGTGATATTGAAAGTAGTGAAGTGGATGACACTATCATAAAAGTAGATCAAATACTAAATAACTGCGTATCGTACAATGTCAAGGAATTCAACAAAGCACTAGATAATCAAATGAATGAATTTTCATCGCTTCTCTTCCAAAACATCGACGGCAATAAGTCAAATTTCGACACTTTCGCTATTGAATCCCATAGGCTCACCAAGAAATTCTCGATCATAGCCTTAGCGGAAACAAATGAAGGTCCTGAATCCAGCAGTTTGTATCAATTAACTGGATACAACAGTTTCTACCAAAACACAATACCAGATAAAAAAAGGGCACTGGAGTGGCTCTCTATGTTTGTGACACTCTTAGTGCCAGAGTAAACGGCAATGTATCCCATATCACTGAACATTTAGAAACTCTTTTTGTGGCCGTAAGTAGTACAACTTCCCCAGTAACAGTTGGTGTAATGTACCGTCCTCCAAGTGGTAATGTCAATGTTGCACTATCTGAACTCTCTGACATCCTTGACAGTCTCCCCAAGTGTAGTTACCTAGCGGGTGATTTTAACATTGATTTACACGATAAGAATAGCACAATCGTACAACGCTATGAAGAAATACTATTAAGTAAAGGATTTTTCCCCCTAATTTCGTTAGCAACACATGAGAAACCAGGCTGCAAAGCATCCTGTATTGATAACATAATAACTAACGACGTAGAGAGTATAGTAGCTTCTGGAATACTGACTGACCGTATATCACACCACTCACCCATCTTCCAAATCTTTGATAGAAACTTGGACTCTAGCAGAATTGACCTGAAATACAAACAGTATTATGATTACAACAAACCGAATGTAAAAGCTTTTTTACAGACTCTGGAACATGATCTCAATAATAATGTTATCGACAATTTTACAACATTTCACGACATATTTAAGGACTGTATAGATAGAACTTGTAAGTTAGAAACCCCTAAATGCTCTAAAAGAACAGCACTGAACAACCCATGGATTACACCAGACCTTGTGGGCAAAATTTCATATCAGCACGAACTTTACGATAAATGGGTAAAGGTCAGAAAAGTTAAATGTAAATTTGGGGAAATTGAAAATAAAGGGGGGACATGCCAATGCCCAATATGTTGCTCAAAACGTGACAAGTATAAAAAATACAGTGACTGCAGGCGGAAGGTCAAAAAAGATCGCCGCAATGCTCAATCTAAGTTCTATGGTGGAAAATTTGCAGAGTTGCACGGAAACAGTAAAAAGACGTGGGAATTAATTAACCAAATACGGGGTAAACGAAAACGACAAACCAAACCTCTATTTACTATCAATAATGAAAAAATTACTAATCGTAGGGTAATAGCTAATGAGTTTAATAAGTACTTTGTCTCCCTAGCTTCTAATCTTAACGAGGCATACAATGAAATCGGCGAACTATTAATTAATGGCATCCCCAGTATCTATGACTACCTACCAAAATCCAACACGACCAGTATTTACATGCATGATTGTACAATCGATGAAGTATGTAAAATAATATCAGAATTAGGGTTTGCATTATCGGTCCAACATTTTTTATCGCCGATAACCGATAATAATTTTTCAATTATCGGCGATAACGATAATTATCGGCGATAAAATTTGGTCAGAACAATCAGCTTATTTTCCATCGATTCAGTGGCTTAATTAATCATACGTTCATGATTTATAACTTCCGTGATTGAGTGTCATGAATTCCCGAGATATCGTACACAAATTGTAAACGCGTAATTTCAAAATAGTCAATTAATTGAAAGTGAAGATCCGATATACTTTACAGTGAACAGTCAGTGACAATAACAATCTTACACAAAGTGGAACTCCACAGCCGCTAAACAGCTATACATTTCGGCTTGAGTTTTCTTTTCGATGTAAGATACTATTAGGGACTGATTTTTTGGTCGCTTGACTTTGGGGGATGCCGAAGATTTATCATTATTAGCAGCTGCGTTTTCTATACCGTGTTTAACTCTCAAGTGGTACCAAAGACTAGTGTAAGACCTTTTGGCTGTTGTGCTGAGAAAAGACTTGTCACATTGCATGCAGGCCACGTTGTCCCCCTCTTTTGTGAAATGTTTCCAGATCTCGTTGGTTGACATATCAAGATTAACTAGTTTTCCGAGACACAACAGAAAACAGATAACAACTGATACGTGTAACGTAATCAATCAACGATTTAAGCAAATGAGCGACCCAGGCAAGTTAATCATCGGCATTTCTCAGGGGAGGGGCGTGGAGTGTGGAGTGTGCAGGAGTGTATTGTTTTGTTATGGTGTGTACTGTGTCGGGTTCAAATTATTACCTTATACGGTTGTAACTCCGTTGAATTCAAATATGCAACTATCCCATGAAATATGAATACTTTTACATAGTACATACCTTGTTTCACCAATCAACAGTGATAAGATAACATTGCAAATCTTGCTGATTTAAGTACTTAAGTAGCAAATTCAGATGTTTTGATCAGTTTCACACATATCTTATGATCAATCTAGTGAAAATGGGAGGTAAGAATCTGCGAGTTAGCTGTAAAGTCTCGAAAATTCCGAAATTATTTTTGAAAAGAAATTTCTGAAATTATCGGTTTATCGGTCAGAAATTATCGCCGATAACCGATAACGATTTTACTTCGAATTATCGCCTATAATTTTATCGCCGATATTATCGATTGCAAACCCTAATCAGAATTGAAAAATGGCAAATCGTCTGATATCCCAATACATGTTGTAAAAGCGTCATCCAGAATTATCGCCCCCCTATTATCTGTACTATACAATGAATGTTTGAAGGAGGGAATATTCCCGGACGATTTAAAGATTGGCAGGATCAGTCCCATATACAAGAAAGAAAATGAAGAATTACTTGAAAACTATAGACCAGTCTCTACCTTAGCCGTATTTGGTAAGTTATTCGAGAAAATTATATATAGTAGGCTATACAGCTTTTTCCAGTCACAAAATATGATCTATGAAAATCAGTATGGATTCCGTAAAAATCACTCTACTAGTCATGCCCTGAATTTCTCAGTGAATTATATAGAATCATGCCTTAATAAAAAGCAGCACGTGCTCGGAATATTCATTGATCTAAGCAAAGCATTCGATACCATCTCAGCTGACAAATTACTGAGTAAGCTAGATAATTACGGAATTCGAGGCAATGCCAACAAACTCATTGCTAGTTATCTCTCTAATAGATATCAATACGTCTCGGTCCTAGGAGAAGAGTCTGACAAGCTTCCAGTTCTCTTTGGAGTACCCCAGGGATCTTGTCTTGGTCCGTTACTATTTATTATTTATATCAACGACCTATATAGGGCAACTGAACTAGGCAAGTTCATTCTATTTGCTGACAATACAAATATATTTGTCGCGGATGAATGTAAGATAAAGTTATATGAACGAGCAAACCAAATTCTCAAACTGGTACAACTGTATATGAAATGTAATCTCCTGCATATTAACATTAAGAAATGCTGTTACATTCACTTTAAACCAACGAATAGAAAAAGCAAGGTAGAACATAATGAAGAAGAACACGTACTTACTCTAAACAATGTAGTAATAAAGCAAGTCAAAAAGGTGAAGTTTCTTGGTGTTATTATTGATGATCAGCTTAAATGGGATGCTCATATACGGTCGCTCAACACAAAGCTGAAATGTGAAAGTGGGAAAATTTGTAGAATACGGCACATTATTCCAGAAAAACTCTACAAAGAACTGTACTACACACTATTTGAATCACACTTGCGATTTGGGATATCAGTATGGGGTGGCCTTAGTAACAACAGGCTTGAACCAATATTTATCACTCAGAAGAAATGTGTTAGAATACTATTTGGTAACCGAGAGGCGTACTTAGAAAAGTTTAGAACTTGTGCTAGAACACGAAGTAAAGACAAGCAAAAATTAGGAAGCGACTTCTATGAAAAACAGCACACAAAACCGCTATTTAAGAAAAATGGTTTACTAACCATACACAGTTTGTTCAAACACACATGTTTATTGGAAATGTTCAAAATCAATAAATTAGAATCCCCAGTCCCACTCCTAAATCTATTTAACAGATCATCAAGACGTGCTGATCGATTCATCACTCCAACCCCATCCACCTCCTTCATATATCAATCGACAAAAATGTGGAACGATTGTAGAAACACTGCTAGCAATATCAACTTCTCTACATCAACGAACCTTGTGAAATCCACAATAAAAAAGGAGTTACTCGGCATGCAGTCCAGGTACGACGAAATAGATTGGTGTGAACTGAACTTCGATCCCAACGAACTGAAATTCTAATGTCTACTCAATGAAGATATGCTGAGCGCTAAAGCCGATTGAAATGTTAATGTCTAAAGTATAAAATTTCGGCGGTCACGCCGCGCATTTTGCGCGCTGTGCCGCTATTTTTGGCCCATCTTATCAGATATTATTTACAATGTACTCGCACAGTACATGCAGGGCATGCCTCAAGATCATATTAGTGTAGGAATCATTATGTTTTCAACAATTCATTATATGTCGAATTCAGCAGTGGGTCCTCTCTTCGTCCGGTTTGTGTGTTTGTCGCCTGTCTGGACTCTCGTAGTCATGTAATTTTTAATTTTTAATTTCTAATTTGTTATTTTAATTTTAATTTTAATTTTTCAATTTTCTAAATGTGTGTTCTGCTCCGGGACTCGATTACCGTATCGGCTTTCTTGAGACTGTAAATTTGGAAAGCCAACTATGCGGGGCGCCTGCCCACCTGCACTGAAGAGTGATCAAAGAATTAACTAAAATTTCCTAATATAACGATTGAATATAGAGTTGTTTAACCGGCGCGGCCATGGGTGTGTGGCCTAGCTTTGGCTGCACACCTATGACTGCGCTGTTGCTGGTGGACAGGCGCAGTTTTTGTTGTGCAGTAGTGTTGCAAGAGAATAAAACCAACTTATTATGTACTAAATGGAATCAAGAATATTATTGACTATATTTGATAACGATGAATTGTAAATTTCGATCAATTTATATTTTTCGGTCTCCAATTATTGAACTGCGGAAGCTGGTTGCCTCAACAATGTTGACTATGCATGGTATGACTGAATTGTAAAAACGTGATAATTGAACGAAAAATAAATGATGAACATGATTCAAAAACTGTAAACCACCAAATGAATTATCGCTTAAATTTAAATAAGTATTTAAACAAAAACCACCATGTGCCGTTAAGCAGCAGGGCGCGGCTCATCTGGGCCACAGCAAATCGGCGAAAATGGGTTCGAAAAAGCCACTATTGGCACTCGAGTCCTTGATCTTTCCGATGGTTCACTGGGGCTTTTGAGCTGCCGTCCTTCAGCTTCTGTAAACTGAAATTACTACCAATCCAAGTTGAAGCAATCAGCCGACGCGCGGCTTTTATGGTTATATATGATATGTTTAATCTGTAATAAAGATCAAAATTCAAATTTGTTTCTCTAAAATTTGTTTCTCTATAATAAGCTATAAATATCTTAAACTATACAGTGCTAATTAAAAATTTCTTTATACTTCATTCTCAGATTAGATTTAAAAATTCAAAAAATATAAATTTATTTTATTAATACCTTCTCACACATTCTTTACTCACAGGACAAGACTTGGAAAACAGTAGCCTAGAGGAATTTAATTGAGATGTGTGGGAACAGCCAGTTATAATGTTTGGAAAATAATATTTGTGCAGTCAAAATCTTTCACGGTCCAATCAAGCAGGGCGTGGTTATGCTGATTGGCTAATAGCGCACTTTTAAGTTTTCCTCGCAAGCACATTACACTAGTAGTAAAGTCAGTCATTCTGAACTTTGGGGTTAAAATGTTAAAAATTTTGGTTGACCTAGTGTTGTGGTTGTCAGGTGGGTCTACCTGACAGATAAGAAGGCAGGGTTTCCTCGACGAACATGTGTAACCCTCATATAGGGATATTGGAGCACGGAATTTCATTATCTTGTAGAGCTCGAGGTAACTGTGGTATGTATAGAGATTTTGTATAGCTAGAATATTATTATGCTTGAATATCGGTTTGGTGTGTTCTTTTATGAAAAATTTTTGGTCAAGTTTCTGGTGTCCTATAGGCCTAGTACGTGCACAAGTCTTAAACTTATCAAGGTACGCCAGCCTATCACCAAATAGTACTCTGAGACAGTACTTCTGAGCAGTAAATATTGAGCTTATACGTTGCTTAGCTGCCCCACCCCATACAGATATACAGTAGGAAAGATGTGATTCGAACAGAGCATAATATAATTGTTGATGTAGAAATTCTGGAAGGGAGCAGCGAAGTCTACATAAAGTGGATGTGGAATGATTTAGGGTTCGCTTAAGAGCTTTAATGTGATCTTCCCATGATAGGTTCTCGTCAATTATAACACCCAGAAATTTTGCGGATGAAACCTTTTTGATTGGATAGTTGTCTACAGTTAGTACAGGTTCAGGGTGTGATAAAATCTCTGACTTAGAACCTGCCATGTTGGGTTTGAAGTGTATGTAGCAGCACTTGGACATGTTTATATGTAACTTATAGTGAAACTGCCCAAAACCATTATTTTCTTAATGGATGATTTGATAAATCGCTAGCTCTACACTTGACTTTCACATAGCCATGTGTATACGCGTACTGCGTGACGCGCACTACTGCAATACAAGCAAGAGGGCTCTGGCTAGAGCAACACTTAACTGTCACGTTTGATGGACGATGTCAACCCTTCCAGATCGTTGCCCTGCGAGTAAAAAAGCAACGATCTCGTCAATGCGAAGTAAAAACGATAGTTTGTGCAGCGCGCAAAAGGAAAAAGTCCTCCAACCGTCACGTAAATTTTTTAACACGTTCACACAGAGGTACGTCCTGAATGATTATTCGAAAATTAATTAACCCTACAATCTGAAATTTTAATTCAATCCTAACTTTGACCATTGTTAATGATCTGGCCCGGCGCGCGCAACTTCGTAGCACTTGCCGTCGAGCCCATTATCTCCTCACAAAAGCATTTGCTAAAACTAACCATTAACCCTAACGAAAAATTATACTGTCTTCCTTATACAGTCGTATCACGTGATCGAAACAAATCTTCGCCATGACTATCTCGCCAGGTGAGGGTTTTAACTTTATTTTATGAGGGGTGATTTGGAATCAGCGTCCAAAGATGCATCGATCCAACTTGGTTTCAACTGTCGGGGGCCCTTTTAAAATAATTTCGAAGGTTGCGACTGTGAAATAATTTGCATCTTACTGGGCGCGGCGGCGCTCAGCCAGTCAACTTGTCATTCTGCCGGATCCTTATTCTAAATGCGTGGCGTAGCCTAGTTGCGTATCGCGCTACAAAGGACTTTAAACCAAATATTAAGCTGGATAAACAATAATTATTTTCATTTTTATTTAATTGTTGATAGAACATCGCATTATTTGGTCAAACATTCTATCAAAGTTTGGTAGTTTTTAATTTCATAAATAATCACCATTGCTGAATTGATGTTGAGTGTTCACCTTTTTCCTTTGTACCCTCGTAAAGCAATATTGTATCACGTCGTGACCCCCACGGTCGTTCCACCCCTTTATCGTTCTTACGATACAGGGGAGCCGCGCACTCGTGCGCGGCGGGTCATACAACGTATGACAGGAGCAATAAGAGTTTTACCTGAGGACCCCAGGCTATTATGTTCATTAACATAATAGATAAATAAAGATTTGGCGGAATGACAGGCTGAGCGCGGCCCAGTAATAAGAGTTGTGCTTAACATTGTAAATCTTGTCCTCGTTCTCACATGCCTTACTACGTCGTAGTATTTCTTTCCTTTTTCTTGCTATGAGGTCTTTGGTCTGTTACTCTGTTGACAACCTGCTTACACCCTTTAGATATTTCCCCAGATGTGAGGAATACAGCCGGGGTGAAGGTAGCCTACTCCACTTTCAACACTTTCTCTAAGTACCCATACTTCTTCTCTTTTTAAACTTTTTTATATGTAAATAAATTATGACAATTATGTTAGTTATAGAATTTGTTTGTTTTTTAATGACGAAGGCTGTGAAATGTTCACAGTTCTGATAATGAGGAAATCAGGAAGAATATTTAAAACTGGTGATGATGTTTATGTCATTATTCTTAATCTAATCTAATCTAATCTAATCTCGTTGTCATTCATTTCGTAAACTTCTTGAAAAGTCTTTGTCCTGTTTGATAAACAATTGGGTGTGATACCCTAATCTCAAGTAAAGTTTTTATATCAAATGGAGTCCAAACTCCTCTAGCAGATACGTCAAGCCGAGCTTGGTCGCCTGTTATGGTCTTGGCGTTGAGACAGTTACCCTCGTTTACTTTCAGCAGCTGGGGTTCAATTGTCATACCTCACGCAGGATGTTGGCCATTGTGTCTCTAATGTTGTCTATCTCTCGTAGCTATTCTCCTCAGGGATCAGGTTGAAGGACACATTTGAAAAACTTAAATTCAAACAACTGTTTATCCAAGTGGTTAAAGGTGTATATATCAATGAGAAGGATTATTTGTCTTCAATAGGTGAAACAACGACTTTTTATTCAATTAAAGGATAGCTTCTAAAAATTTGACGGTCTGTATTATTGACGGTTCAGGGTTCGAATCCGAGTGTCACCTAGTCTAGGAAATAGTCATTTTCTTTTCCCGAATAGGGCTCAACGTACCTAAAGTAAACAACCAAAACCTTAATTTACGGCCAACCCTCGATTTACCGATGCTTTTTTTTCTCTCATACATAGGTGCAAATTGGTTCTTGTAATCCTAAGAATCAGTACTTGTTTGGTGGTGTGCCTTTGAGATGTGTTGTAAGCGAGAAGGACCTTGGAGTTGTCTTTAACACCAGTTT